GAGCAGGGGTGAAATGAAGACACAGGAAAGGAGGTGACTGACTTGTTCCAATGCCTTTCAGTCATGTGGGAAGAGAGTAAAGATGGGGTGGTCAGTGGGACTCACTTTTGAACTTTAGGTAGGTGGTGAGCATGTAAAGTATTTGCTGTGTCCTGAAAGCTCCTGCATGGTATGAGTGCGATCTCTGAGCATCCTAAGTACCGCCTTCTAGAACATTTTCCTGTGCATGTGCTTGGAGTAAAGGGACACGACCCATGGGGCCAACATAATTTGTAGGTCCTGCCTAAATGTGGGATTCTCAGGCTCTACTCCTCCAAGAGACACCTGGGGCTTTAGTCTCCAGTACATATTGCCTGGGAATATGGTATGGACCTTTGGTCTCAAGACAACCCTGCATCCACTTTGTTGTTCATAACCTCTTTTTCTCATTTTAATACACACATGACCAAGTGTATTCTACCCAGGGTGGAAGTGTTTTGAAAAGGGTGCATCTGATCCACTATTTGCTGAGATAAATTTGAATTTTAAAGGCTTACTAAATAAATAAATAAAAATAGATTTTAAAAAGTTTTATTGGTGAGGCTGTTAAATGCCACTATAAAATTTTTGGCATATACCAAATTAGTGAAATAATTTTGAATTCCAGATTTCTTCCCAATTTTGATTGATGTAAAATTTGATGAGGAGTTGGGGATGTGGTATAAAACCCTAGGTACAATCCCAGCACTATAAAAAAATATAAAATAAAAACTTGATTTTTATATTCATCTAAATGAACATGTTTATTTTTAAAATTTAAAAGAGAATTGGTGCATTCATTAGAAAACTGTTTCCATCCTGATATTGTCAGGTTAAATAAAACTGGATTGCTGTTACTTAAACTTCCATGAAAGCACTAACCTCTGATGTTTGGCGGTCTAGATTTCTTCATCCTGTCCATGAATAGACCCTTGGCCCGAAGCCTCCTGTAATCTGGGTTTCATGTGTAATACCCTCACGGTCTCCATGCCTGTTTACATTAGTATCTGTGATAAAGCATAATGTAATAGGGATTCCTGTGTTATGACTGTTCACAGTGAACCCAAGCCCCAGCTGCTGCCATTGTCACGAGCTCTGCTCATACCTGTTTTCTTTCTTTTCTTCCTGAAACAGGGCCTTGCCATGTAGCCCAGGCTGGCCTTGAACTTGTGACGCTTCTCCTGCCTCAGCAGCCCAAGTGCTGGGGTTACAGGCATGTGCCACCATGGCCAGCTGATCTTCCTATTACTTCAGTAGTCAACACTATGTCTCCTGGTTTCTAGATTTGTGTATGAGTCTTCTTATCCTATTTGAAATGGGATGCTCACTCATAAAAGCCTTCTAGCATAATTTTTTAAAGATCACTGATTATGTTTCTGAGGGCATAGGTAAATGTCCGTTCAATACCCTGAGCTGTAACTTCTTGATCTGATAACTGGAACTAATTTAAATCAACAAGGGCTTGTTCCTGAGTTCTCTTTCTGAGCTCAGTTTCTCTCTTGGTATGTTCTAACCTGACAAATAGGAGTCTGTTCTCCATCACAAAGTAAAGTAGGAAGCCAGTGGTCTGTGCTGTGTTAGCATTCCATATGCTCAGTTCCTTATTTGTCTTAATTCAAGTTTGGGTTTAAAATGACCTGCTTTCATCTTCAGCATTTTGAGTAACAACCATCCTTGCTTCTAGTCTCCTTAAACGTCCAGGTTAAGCTGAGTATGTTGGCACATGCATATTATCTCAGCACTTACGGAGGCTGAGGCAGGAGGACTACAAGTTTCAGTCTCATGTAGGAAATTTAGAAACACCGTCTCAAACTTTAAAAAAAGTTTTTAATAGGGTTGGATGAGGCTGTAGCTCACTGGTAGAGTTCCCCTGGGTTGTACCCCCAGTTGCACAGGGGAAAAAATATGGTTAATCTTCTGGAAAATTTCCCTCAGCTTTCAACTTTCACAAAGGTGCCTGGAAAATCAGAGCTTTCGAGAGTAGTCATTTGGGTCCCTCAAAGTCCTCCTTATTCTTCCCACCTGGACATTCACTGACCTAGTGGAGGCTCAACTGGAATTTTACGATTAGAGTGCAAGTTACCAGGTCCTGGTCATTCAGTCTTTCTGTGGTCCTATACTGCTTTTGAAATGTCAACTTGTGTTGTGACAGATTATTACTTTATTCTTGATTGATATTGTTTGGCAGAGGAGAGTTTATGAAACTCCCTGCTGATGCTGGGCAAAGATCTCTCAGCAGATAAGGAGTTTCCCTTTGGTGACTAAAGAAACAAGGGTTCCCGGGGAAAGGAGGGAGCCCTGGGCCACCCACTTATCCCTATGCCTCAATGACAAGGCTCAGGGGCATCACTGACTCAGGGAGTGCTGGAAGTGCCTTCCCACATTCCCTTGTCTCCTTGGCTTTCCTGAGAAACCGGAGCTAATTAAGCTTCGCACAAGCTTAGGTGTGGAAGAGTCACCAAGGCTGTGACTCACCCCACGGTTTCAGCTGGGTTTCTAAACAACAGTGCTGTGAGAGGAGAGCTATCTGCACATAGAGACCACAGGCTATGAGTTAAAACAGAGGCTTAACTATCCATTTTTAACACAGTTCTCTTTTCCTTTGGTTTTGATTTTTCTAGTGCTAGGAAACAAACACAGAGCCTCACACAACCCAAGCACGTGCTCTACCACTGGGCTACACCCTTACCCCATTTTTAAGGTTATGAAGAGAAAAAATGAAGAAATATAAAAGCTGTCAGTTTTTTTTTTTTTTTTTCTTTTTCCTTCTTATCGGTACCAGGGATCAAACTCATGACTGCCTACTTGCAAGGCAGGCACTTATGCTGCTGAGCTAAATCTCCATCCCCAAAGCTGTCAGTTTTCAACACAGGTAAAGTTGTGGATGGCTTCCACACTGGGGCCTCCCAAGAAGTTGTTTTTGGCTTCCTTTCCTCATTATTCAATACTGGTCTGTCTCTGGGGAGGCTCTGGGAGCCGGGATTTCCAGGCCCTTAGATGGCTGACAGGGATGAAGGCCAGCTGTTTCCTCTCCTGCTCCCCTCTGGACTGCCCTGGAGATATTGGTGAAAGCGGCTTGGAAAGGTGTCAGCTTGGCAGTGAGGAGAGAGAAGATCAGAGAGAGAAGACAAAGCAGCACAGCCTTTTGTGAGTCACCTGTCACCAAAACTGTGGGTATGGTTCCCTGCAGTGACTCTCAGGCAGCCCTTGAAGTCTGAGTGATGAGGTGACCACCAATTTGGAGGATGCTGCTGCAGCCCCAGGAGACTGTTCCCAACTCTGAATAAGATCTAGCAGCTTTTCCAGATACGGCTTTTCAGGAATGTTCCCAGTGGCCTTCTTTCTGTATCTTTAGGGCTTCCTGCCCGCGTCCCACTCACAAAGCCCCAGACTCACCCAATTTCACCAGGATACCCCGCGCTGGAAAATGGGTTTGTTTTTGTTTTTGTCTTTTTCCTTTTTATCGGTACCAGGGATTGAATTCACCACTGCCTGCTTGCAAGGCAGGAAAATGGGTTGATGAGGGTGACTTTGCAACAGATTTCAGTGGTGAGAGTCCAGCTGAGTGGTGATCCCACCCACGTGTGCAGTGAGGAAGAGCCTAGCACACTAAGGATTTAGCGCTGCAGTAAGCCCCAGGTGCTCTGAGCACAGGCCCTGTCTCTGTTCACTCCTGCACAAAGCGCCACACGGCACATTGCAGGTGTTCAATACATGTTTGTTAAATGAACACTTTTTCTTTTCTTGCAGTACTAGGAATTAAACTTAGGGTTCTCACACTGAACTACAGTCCCAGCACTTTTTATGTTTATTATTTTGAGACAGGGTCCAGCTAAGTCTAGAAGTTGCCCAGGCGTGGCTCAAATTTGAGATCCTTCTGTCTCAGTGGAGAGTGAGCCCAAAGGAGGCTGAGAAAGCCTGGAGGAAGTAAAACCTAAACTGGACACGGACCCCGTTGCCATGGCACATGCCCTGAATACCAGCACTCTGGGACGCTGACACAGGAAGATTAAGAGTTGGACCTCAGTCTGAGCGACTAAACCATTTAGTAAGATCCGGTTTCGAAACTTAAAAATTTTACAGGTTGGGGATGTAGATCTGTATGAAGACCCTAGTTCGATCATCCCTAGTGCTGCAAAACATGAAGAAAATAATAAAATAAATAGAGCCTCAGAAACAGAAGGAATATCAGGCCAGGCTGAGGTTTAATTATCCCTCACAGGAAGACATGACCATAGCATGCGTTTCTAGGAGCGGCAGAGATCTTTCCAGATGCTAATCCCGATCCCGCACTTCTGGGCCTGGACGTCCTCTAAGGCGATTGCCAGTCCCGTCCTTTCCAGGCACAGAGCCCCGTTTCCTCTGGCAGGAAGCTAACCTCAAGCCGGCTTTGGGGATGGCATGGAAACCCGAGGCCGCGCTGCAACGCTCCTCGGTCCCTTTCTAACTCTCTTGGCCTCCTCAGAGCAGAGATGCTACCCGAGACCCTGGTGGGTGCAAAGCCCAGTGGCGCCGGCACACAGCGTGTGCTCGGTGACGGGAACCGAGCCCGAGCCTCCGGCCCGTGGCCCCAGTGCAGCCGCGGCTCAGGGGCTGCAGCGCCGCCGCCCACGCCTGCGCCGCTGTGCGCGCTTCCGGGCGGAACCTGGGCGCCGCTGACTAGAATCGAGCTGCCGGGGTCCGGCTGCGCCTGATAATAACTTTGCATCTAGGTATTGCGCGTGGAGCAGGAGGCGGAGAAGCTGGCGTGGGAGCGCCGGCCCCTGTACGTGCGGACCAGACTTTTCTGTCGGAGGACGCGGGTGGGCGCACTGCGCCTTTAAGAGCGCAGCGCGGCGGCGGCGGCGGCGGCGGAGGCGGCCAGGTGAGCGACAGCGGCGGAGTGGGGTGCAGGGTCCCGGAGCTCCCTGCCCCCGTCGGGCTGCAGCCCGCGGTGCCGGGCGTCGGAGGGTCGGAGGCGGCGATCCCGGCCAGGGGGACGCGAGGGCGGGCAGGGCTGCACCGGCCCGGGCTCCGCCGCGCCGGTCTCCCGCGCCCCTGCATCCCCGGGCCGGAGCCGGGGCCCCGCCAGCATCTCGGCTTCCCGTGACATCCCGCGGCCGCGGCGGGCAGGGGAGGCTGCAGGGAGTGGGGGTTAGTCGCGTGGACCCCAGGGTGAGGGATGGGGCGGTCGTGTTGGGGACCTCGTCGTGCCCAGGAATTGGGAGTAGAAGAAGGAGACCTAGGAGGCGCCTGTCCCAGCCTTACCCGGAGGCCAGCAGGAGATAGTGGTCCCCTGTCCTGCCCAGAAGGGTCAGATAGCTGGCTGCACCTGGATGGAAGTTAGTTTCTAATTCACAATAGGTGGCATAGAGTAAGCAAGTTCTGGGTGCTTGGTCTTGTTCTAGGCGCCTTAAAAAGATCACCCCTTGGAGCCTAGAGGTTTATGTGCCTTGTAATCCCAGCACTCCGGGAGGCTGAGGTAGGTGAACTGCAAATTCAAGTCCAGCCTGGATAATTTAATGACTTTAACAAGACCTTGTCTCAAAATTAAAAAGGACCTGGGATGTAGCTCAGTGAAAAGGCCCGGGGTTCCATTCCTGGGACTGGGGGAGAGATGAAAAAGATCACCTGCCTTGCTCACAGCAGCCCCCAGGGGGTTGGGGGGAAATGTGGGGTGGCCTCTTTCCAGGACATGGTGACTCTAACCTCAGACTTAGTCTGATCACTTCCTACTGGACTTTTTACCCAGTTTTTGTTGTTGTTGTCGTTTTGTCTTTTTGAGACAAGAGTCTCTCTATACAGTTCAGGCTGGCCTTGAGCTCACTTTGTAGCTCAGGCTGGTCTGGAACTCACAATGATCCTCCTACCTCAACTTCCCAAATGCTGGGGTTACAGGCGTGAGCCACCATGCCTGCCTTTTTACCCAGTTTTGATTTAACATTTTTGTTGTTGTTGTTGTTGTTTTGTTTTTGTTTTTGTCTTTTTCCTTTTTATCGGTACCAGGGATCGAACTCACCACTGCCTGCTTGCAAGGCAGGCACTTATGCCGCTGAGCTAAATCCCCAGCCCAAATTTAACATTTTTACAATGTTGGAAATTAGAAACAAATAACTTGTGTTCTTAGCACTGATTTATTTTTCTAAAAATTAGCTTCTGGGACTGGGGATGTAATCAGTGGTAGAATGTTTGACACCATGTGTGAGGCACTGTGTTTATTCCCAGAGTTGCAAGGAAGAAGGAAAGAAAGATTGAAAACCAAACATGAAGTTCTCAGACAAGCATGAGGTCTTCCCTGCTGTCCTCAAAGAGACTGAGGCCCAAAGAGCAGAAGGAACTTGCCTGAGGCTATATAGGTGGACTAGGTCAGGGGCTGGCCCAAAAAAAGGACCCTGGGATGATGGTTCATGGGGTGCTCCCTGGGCTGCCTCTGCTGCTCTGGCCCTTTGGCTTAGGCCCTGGGGACCACCCCTCCCGCTTCCTTTGCTGTAGCCCAGGCAAGCGAACATGCCTCTTCCCCCTGTGAATGCCCTCCCAGGCGGTTCTGATGTCTCCTGCCCCAAGAAGTGCTTATCGGGTACTCCTCCATGGGTGCTCCTCCAGGGCCACTCCCAGTTTGTGGCCTGCCCCACCAAGTGGGAGGCACTGCCCCTTGGGTGCAGCTGTGCTGGAGGAGGAGGAGTGCTTCCCAAGGCCTCACCTGCCTGGCCCAGCCCTAGGATGGAAAGAGAAGCACATGACAGGTGATTATGGCTTGTGACGTAAGAGTCGGCCCAGGGTTTTTGGGCCCTGCCACAGCTGGCTCCCTCACCAGGCTGCATCCCGATCACAGGAAGAAAACTGCCACCTGGTGCCCCCATTATAGTGCTGTGTTTGTTTCTGTCCAGAAACCAGACCTTTCTATCACTGAGGCAGCCCTGTCAGACATCTTCCCTCTACCACTTGTTGTCTGTGTGGCCTTAGGCAAGATCCCTTACCCTGTGAGCTTCGGTGTTGCTGAACCTGCTTCAGAGAACAGTGATGATTCTTAAATAAAATGATGCAGGGGGCCTTCATAACAGCATTAGCTGTTACGAAAAGCAGTGATGATGGACCATGGCCATGCAGTACAGAAGCTGTGTTAGACCATTAATAAACAGCTCATGTTGCCTGTTCTTAGGGGTGAGAAAGGGAGTTCAAGTCAAGCAAAAGTATGTGTGTGTGTGTGTGTGTATGTGTGTGTTTGTGTGTACACACATGCACTCAGATTTACAAAGCTTTTTTTAAAAAAACTCTTAAGCTATCCTTTACCTTTACCCTAAGAAACAGAGTGGAAGCCAGATATGGTGGTCCATGCTTATAATCTCAGCATTACAGAGGTTGAGGCAGGAGGATTACTGGAAGTCTGAGGCTGGTCTAAGCTACATAGTGAGTTTAAGACTAGCCCCAAGTACATAGTGAGACCCTGTCTTAAATAAACGAACAGAGGTGACATTGACCTGGTTTTTTTTTTTTTTTTTTAGCTTTTTAATTTTATGAGCTATGGATTCCCTGAGTATCTGCACACTCATTCTGAGTGTGGGAATCTTATTTGGGCAATTAAAATTATGAAACATTATCTGAACAGAATGACCTTAGTGTACAGTGTGTTTTGGTCTAAGCCTGTCCTAGGGGGAGACTTTAGAATCAGAGATTATCTTTGAATTTGGATGGAAGGAAAGTCAGGGTGAGTGTTACCACATTCACTGGCAAGCAGCTGAGAGTGGAAATATACTTTCACTGTGCCGTATTCCTTACAGAGCTCCTGCTTCTGAGTGACCAGATTGGTGACTGTGGTGAGGAGTGCAAGGAAAGAAGTCAGGGATGTCATCTCCAAACTAAGTGCCAGGAAGCACATCTGCAAGTTGGAAAACACTTACTTTAAAATTTCTCCTAAACCAAGTCTTTACTGGAATAGATTAGAATCCCACTTGAGAGTTTAAAAGCTGTTTAGATATTTTAAGGCATAGATTTTTATAAATTTTACTTTCGAAAGCAATTTGGGAAGCTCTAGAAGTCTTATTTCTGTGACTGTAGGGTCCGAAACGTGATCACTAGCTATGTTAGAAATGAATTAAAATTAAATAAGATTGAGCTGGGGATGTAGCTCAGTGGCACAGCACTTGTGCCTGGCAGGTGATTCCTGGTACAGAGAGAGGAGAGAAGAGGAGAAGTGGGGGTGGGGAGGGGAGGGGAGAGCCAGAGCAAAAGAGAGAGAGAAAGGAAAGAAGAAAGCTGGAAGTTAAGTTCTTCACATTTTAAACGCTTGGTAGCCACATGTGTCCAGGGCAAGGTACCTTAACTGTGAGCTTCAGCAATGAACAGCAAATAGAGACCATTTCCACCTCCACAGAAAGCTCTGGGAGACAGCACTGCTGATGGTAGAGTGTCGGGAAAGCCACTTGATAATGGGGTTAAGTTGTGTTTGGCAAGGCCAAGATGGAGCTTACCAGGGATGTTTCGTCCCTGGTATGGGGAGGTTGATAGAATTTCTTGGCCTCATTTCAGCTGTCCCTGGTTCTTACCACTGCTGGAGTCTGAGGATGAGGGAGAGGGTGGGATACAGGAGATGTCCCAGCCCTGTTTCTTCACCCCAGCTGCGTGGTAGAACCATGTAGGGGCCATCTTAAAAACACTTACCAGAGCTGTGCCCCAGAGCATCTGCCAGGGATGGGGAGGCCCAGGGATGTGGAGGCCATCAATGGCAGGTTTTAAAAAGCTCCCTGGGGAATTTTACTATGCACCTGTGAGTTGAGAACTGCCTTCAAGATTGAACTGAAACCAAAGTCCTAGAGGACTGGGAGGCAATTTTTCAGGGCAGATTTAGTGAATGGCTGTAATGTTTCTCACACTTTGCCCAGGAGACGGAGTCCAGAGTTCTCAGCAGGAGCCACTTTGTCTGTTTTTGGTTGTCATAGCTTAGAGGTAGCATCAGTAGAGACCAGAAGTGCTGCAAAGCCTCTAACCCACAGGGCAGCCCCCAATAAAGAGTTATATGGTCCCCAAAGTGACTCGGGTCATGGTCAGGAAACCTGATCTGGATCTGATTTGCACAGAGTTCAAATTCTTTCGGACCTTGAATGTACCTGCATCTCCTGAAAAGATGGAGGGTTTCTCCCAGACCAGGCACTTTAGGGCCTTTGGGAGCACATTCAGGCTTTCCGTCTCAGCCCATGGAGTGTCACTGCCTCCCCAAGGCTGGATCAGCTGGCTTTGTCCCGGGCTTCCTGATGGTGCCCTGGTGCTGTGCCAGGGAAACTGCTGAGTCAGGGGAGCAGAGAGCAGGCAAAGGCTCCTGCCAAGGTCTCTCTGCTGAAGGCTGGGATCCGGGGCCTGTTAAGTGATTAGCTAAGGTCACAACAGCTTTTGTGAGAGGCAGTTTCAGAAGCTCTGGCTGCTTGGCTTTGGCATAGTGCTGCTTGTGATGTGCCTGGACTAGGAATCCAGCCCTGTGTGTGAGGGTTTGTGGATACTGAGCCATAGGTTGCACTCAGAGCAGGAAGACAGCTGCACAGATCCTGCCCCAGTGTGGTCCAGCATCTGAACAGCCCCTGAGCAGAGAAGGGAAGGGGACAGAGGTGTGGCCAGGCTGCCTGACTGAGCTGTGCAGAGGGAGTGCCCAGTATGTGACAGTCACCATGGAGAGCTGTTTTCCCATACCATTTCAACTGGACCCCACACTGAGGTTCTCAAAGATGAAGTGACTTTTTTGTTTGTTTGTTTGTTTGTTTTCATTTTTTATCGGTACCAGGGATCGAACTCATGACTGCCTGCTTGCAAGGCAGGCGCTTATGCCACTGAGCTAAATCCCCAGCCCCATGAAGTGACTTTTCAAAAGACTGGTGGCTAGCCAGTGATGGGAGCAGGGATTGTGACCCAGAGTATTGAGGTGCAAAACAGAGCCCTCAGATGAGCATTGACAAGTGGGTCATGCAGCAGTAACAGGCAAAGCTTTCCAATAAGCTGGATCTCAAGCAGGAGAGAGAATCTGGAGGGGCAGAGGTGCCAGAGCCATGGAAGTGTGGAAGGGTCTGAGGGGTCTGGGAGTTCCAAATCAGTTGCAAAAAGACCTGGGTGGGGGGAGTTGGTGAATGATAGAAGAAAACGACACTTTAAAAATGGGCAGGTGCTGGGTCACCAGTGGCCTTGAGCCCCATGCTGAGAGCCACTGTGAGCATCTGGTGGTTGGGGCAGAGGAATAGAAAGTGGGTGACATTGGGCAGTTTGCTTAGCCTCTGTGGGTCCCAACTGCCCATCTAGACAGGAGCCTCTAGTAGTCCTGCTGTGATGAGAAGTGCTCACTGTGTTGGTGACATAGGACTGGCCAAGGAAGGACAGGCCTGCTTGAATACTAGCAAGGTATATGACTCCTCACTTTTGCACCCAAGTCTATTCAGTGGCTGAAGGGACCGGTCACTTCTCCATCTGAGAAGGCGGTTGCATGTTGACGGAAAGCTTGTTTGGTGTTTACCAAGTGCCCACCAAGAGCAAGGACAGTGAGTGTTAAGGGTTACAACAGATGCAGAGATGTGGTCTCACTTGTCTAGGGTTTGCAGCCTCGTAGGGCACAGCCAGTGTTCTCACCATGAACCACAGATTACAGGGGCCACGAGGAGCAAGTGTTAATTCAGAACTGGGTGGCAGGGAGGGTGAATTGGAGGTTGCTCAGGGTTTGAGGCAGGGCTAAATGAGGGAGCCAACCTTTGTTCTGCCAAGAACAGGGTTTTTTGCTTTATTGTTGTGACCTGGAGATGCCTGATACATGTTAGGCAAGTGCTCTACTGCCAAAGTGATATCCCCAGCCCTTTTTATTTTGAGCCAGTCTTGCTAACTTGCTTAGCCTGGCATCAAACTTGTGATCCTCTTAGCTCTGCCTCCTGAGTAGTTGGAATTTTCTTACAGGTAAAGAAAGAGAGAATTAACAGGTCAGTTCAGGTACAGTCACCAGAGGGTCCTACTAGCATATATCATACCTGGACCCCCATAGTTGCCAGTTTGTAGATGGGAACCGGAAGTTTTCATGCCAGGGAAATACTCACTTTGGACTTGCCATATCGGATCATGTGCTTCCTCCCCTGGCAGCCATCCAAGCTCTGGCAGCATCTGTACTGTGTTCATCTGTCTCTCCCAGGCCAGAAGACATTTTAAGACGAGCAGTGGACAGGAAAATAGTAACTCCTGCAAAAGGGGCAGGTTTCACAAAAGTGACTGATGGAGAACTGCTACAGTTACATGTCAGAACCATCCTAGGATATGGCAATGTGAGTCTTGTCACCGCCTGAGAAGGAGTGAGCTCCCCTTCAAAGCAGAGCCTGAGAACTCAGAGAATTAAGAGAACTGAGAAATGAGAAATTAAGAATTGAGAAATGCATTTTCTAAGAAAAGAAAAATGGCCTCTTCCTAATAGCACCATGGTAACCAAACGTTAATGGGGAGGGCTTTGCACACTGTGTTTAGTATGTGTTGTTATTTTTACAATATGCAGTTTTGATTTTTGTTTTATTTACTTGGCTAAAGTTCCAAACAAAGCTGTGTTCTACTCTGAACAGTGAAATTTCAAGGATGGCTTTGCCACATGCCCCTTTTTGCACTCATTTTCCTGGCACCTTACCTAGGGTGGAATTCTAGGCAAAGAGCAGAGAATGCTAGATTTGATGCCAGAAGCTGGAAATGGCTTCCTAAAATCTGGCCCCCTTAAATCTTGGCAGCTACTTATTACTAATGTCCCTTTACCTTTGTTTATGCCGGCTTTGTTCCTGTAGTTAGACGATGCTATAGGTCTTTTAAGATGTAAAATCCTCTTTAATCTCCTAACTGTTCCTCTTGTTTATTTTATAAGTGCAAGTTTAGGTAGCAGAAGAATGTTTTTGGAGACCCAGGTTCTATTTCAGGCCTGTAATAGCACACCCATGTACAGGGCTATTTTAACTCCTTTTAGTCATCTGAAAGATAATCTTTATGTAATGTGCTTTCTAGCACTTTGCTTTGAGGAAGATGAAAGCTTGTAATGACTATAGAGTCCATGCAGGTGAAGGCTCAGGTGGCTTTTTGCTTCTGTCCTATCAAGCGGAAGGCTGGCTTGTACTTTAGCAATGTGGTCTCGTCTTCAACATGGTTTTCAGCAGGTGGTTATTTCAGACCATCGCGGCCCACATCTTGGCCCAAAGAGATGTTTTCAAACTGCTCCACGAGGTCAAGGCTTCTGACACACATTTCACTGCTTCTTCTTGGTCACTTTGCTTCTGGAAAAGCCATGCCACAAGGCACACAAGCTGCTGCCCCAGCGAGCCCCTGACTGATCTCCTGCCCTTCCCTCCTCTTCCTGTCACCTGTCAAGAATCAGGCAGTAGGATTTCCCCATTCCGCTCCTCCGCCTCTGGGTTTGTGCTTTCTGCCAGAAGGCAGGTGGGCTAGCTGTTTCTTGAACCAGAACTCTTGAGGGGAACCTGCTGCTGGTACCATAAAGCAGGATGGTGCTCAGTCTTCTCCCAGAATCACAAAGAGGATAGGAATTTATGGCTTATGGACAGCTGTATGATTCCAGGGTGGAAAACTATTATCTTCTACTATAGACTTTCATGATAGTTCTATCATGAACTTTGAGCCAAAGATCTTGCTGAGTTGACTTAAACCTCAGGCCAATCACAGAGGGCAGGGTCTCCCAATCTTCAAATGTTATTAACCAAGCCATCCAGCTGATGTGTGGAGATGAAGGGATTTTCCCCCGATAGCATCTACATTCCTATTTCTTCTCTTGTGAGAATCTACAGTTTGATTACTGTCCTTCATTCCCTTTGAAGCTAGCGTAGAGTGTGTGATCAGCCAGCAGTTTGGTTTTGTAGTGACAGTGTCTGTGATAGCCACAAGCTGCATGTCACTGTGGAGCCGTTGACATGTGACATGTAGCTGAGGAACAAAGTTAAAATTTTATTTCATTGTGGTTACCTTACATTTAAATAGTTACCAGATGCTGGTGGCTACCCTTGGAAAATGTGTAGATAGACCATTTTAATTGAGCTGTTGATACTGTCTTTTTTCTTTCTTTTTCAGCTTGAAAGATTAGAAAGAGGGCCTCACAGGGCTGGGGATTTAGCTCAGCAGCATAAGCGCCTGCCTTGCAAGCAGGCAGTTGTGAGTTCAATCCCTGGTACCGATAAAAAGGAAAAAGACAAAAAAAAAAAAAAAAAAAGAGGGCTTCACATATGCTCGGCAACCTCTCTGGCACTGAGCTCCATCTCTGGCCCTCTATGTTTTAATTAGATTTAAACATCCACATTTGTATATGGTTGCAATTCGAAAGCCACAAAGGAGGAGTAGTGAAAATGCACTCGTCTCTGCCCCAGATTCCATTCCCAGAGCAGCCACTGCTGCCAGTTTCCTGAGCATCCACCTAGAAAGGTCTCGTACATGTGTAACATAATCTCTCGCTGTCTTTGTTAATGCAAGAGCTTTTTTTGGCGATAGTAATGGGCCTTGAGATTTTCACCCACAGGGAGCAGAAGGGCTGGCTGTCTTGTATTTATTTATAGTGACTGCATACAGTACTCCTGGAAAGTTGCACCATCGTGTACTTACCAGGTCCCCTGTAGTAGGTCCAAGCGTTTATTATGGTATAGACAATATCGTAATTAAAAACGCTGCACAAACATGTTTCTGTGTATGTAACTACAAGTAAATGCGTAGAAGGAAAGCATCTTGGTAGGTTAAGGGTAGGTGTGTTCTGTGTTTGCCACACATTTCACCAGTTGCCCTGTGGAGTTTGGATTGGTGTGTGACGTGTGGTGAGAGCCTCTCGGTCCACCTGCCCTCGGCCACACAGATGCTAGGCTTGTTCTTTGCCAGTGTAGTCAGTGAAGTCCATCATCAACCCAAAGACTTCATTTGCCTGTCTCATTGTAACTGTGTTGTACACCTTTTTATATGTTTAAGAGTCATTTCTGCTCCCTTTCTGCTGTTATCTGTTCAGTCCATTTGTTTATTAGTCTGCTGGAAGAAGCCTTTCAGACATTAAGTAAATGAGTCCTGAACCTCTGATATGTGATGGCTTTGGTGGTAGAGGGGAGATATTGGGGGTGGGGGTTGAAGCCAGGGCTTTCACACTGAGCCGCGTCCCAAACCATTTTTATTTTTTATTTTGAGAAAGAGTCTCCCTAAGTTGCTGAATTACTCAGGTGCTATACCCTAGCTCTGCCTCCCAGAGTGCTGGGATGATAGGCATATGCTGCCAGGCCCAGTTTCTTGTCTTGACAAATTTTAATCACGTTTATGATGTCTCCAAGCAAATGTTTAAAAGGCAGTTTTATGCAGTCAACTTGTTACTTTTTTGTAGCAGTAATACCAAAATTGTTTTATAATTACAATGTTTTGCTATGCCTTCTGGTTTTTATCTTTCTAAGAAAAGCCTTCTCCAAAGAGATATTTTTAAAGGATTCTTAACAGTTGCAGACCTTTGATGGTTCTGTTTCTCAGAGTTGACGCTGACCAGTTCCAGAGTTGTGTGGCTTTGTGCCCCTTGCCTGTCTCCTGACAGTCCTGCTGCGGAGCCCCTGCTGTCTGCCCAGCCCTGATTCTGAGCTTGGTCACTCCGTAGCAGGATTGTCCTCCTTCCTCTTCCTACATTAGGAAAGCCTAGTGCACCTGGAGAAGGAGCACCCTGTGTCTTTATTTGAACATTTTTGCTGAGCTCAGAGTCCCCAGAGCCGTGTATCCCCAGAGCACCTCCATGCCCCTTGTTGTATTGTCTGTTTAGCCCGCCTGACTGCCTCTTGCCCTCTCACCTACTTTCTTCCTTGACCTCCTGAATCCCTTCCTAAGGCTGCCTCCTTATCTGAGAGGGCCTGCTCTCTGTGCACTTTTGCCTGATTGGGGAGGTGGCCCGAGGCAGAGGGCAGCTATAAAGCCACAGGATGTGTGCACTGCTGTTTGTGCTAAAGAGGGTACTTTATTCATGTTGCCTTAGAAGAATTAATGCTTTGCCATTTTATTTGTGGTATTCTAGAGTCACATTTTCAGTTCCTGTCAGAGCCAGGAGCAGTTGGAAAAGAAAGCTGTGCTCTTTGACAAGTAAGTATGAATTTTTAGCACCATAAATCACCCCACAAAGCCAGCCCCTCAGGAACCTGGGCCTGCCACCTGGGTGAACTCCCTCTCTTTGGTCTACCACGGAGGTGACTCCCTGGTCTCAGTCTACTGGAAGGGCAGGTGCCTGAAGGGTTTTAAACTACAATATACTCCAAAAGCCCCTGTAAACAGTTCTTAAGGAATGTGCCGCAGGCAGGGCCCTGATGTGGAGAAAGCCTGGAGGACATGGGAACTGGGGACTGCAGTGCTTTCCTCAAGCATGTGGACTGTGGCCTGCCCCAGGGGCAGAGCGGAGGTCATCAGGGAGCCAGGACAGCATGGCTCTGCACTGGAAGTGAACGGCAGGGGGGAGGACAGAGCAGGGAGCTCTGCAGGTCTGGCAAGGGCCGGGGAGATGGTTAGTTGGGGCAGAGGTGGTCAGGAAAGTCGGTTCTGAGATGAGTGGGACCATGCAGGATGGTTCACATTTTTATCGGCTAGACATTAGACCAGTGCAGTCCCTGCTGTGAACGGAAACAACTGCTTCCAGAGGTGCTGGTGGGATGATGCAGGATGTAAAGGATGAGCCTTTACAGAAACAGGGGCAGTGAGGCCCCTGTGTGCCGCAGAGGCAGTCCAGGTACTGACCAGTGGAAAGTCGCATTCCCGATGAGGCTTCTCTTCCCAGGCAACATTCGCAGTGAGTGTTGACCCAGCCTGGCCTAAGAGATTGCTTGCATGAGGCCTTTAAGTATAAATCCTCGGTGCTAGGTTGTCCACTGTGGTAGCTCCTATCTCAGGTGGGTAGTCAAGCATTGGAAAGGTGGCCTAGTAACTAACAGTTGAATTTCGGATTTTGTTTAATTTTATTGAACCTAAGGTTGAAGGGCCATTTGTCTAGAGTAGGACAGGTTGACTTTGGGGCTGGTGTCTCTCCAGCACTGCATAACTGGAGTGGTGAAAGGAGGAAGACTGGAAAATGCAGTCACCTCTGGCAGGCCTAGCTGATGGGGCACTGTTTGCAGAAGTCAGTGAGTCAGAAGCAGGGGAGAGATGAGTCTGAGATGGCTTAGGGCCTGTTGGGGGAGGGTCCTGCATTTAGAAAAGTCTGAAAAAGTCCTGTTAAGTGTGTTGGTTTTTAATTCCCTGCAAGTGAGAGTGGTGAAAGATGGAAGCCAGAAGAGAATTATGGAGCACATTGTAAGGGTGGGGTGTGTGGAGAGCATCATGGGAATATCCAGGGAAGAGAGTTAAAAGGGCATCATGGTACCCTGGCCGGGCATGCTCGGCTGCTGGCTCAGGGAGAACAGACTCAGCCTAGGAGCACTGAGACAAAGGCCACAAGGCAGGCAGCAGTGAGCACCTGTGGACAGTGACCCTGGGGCATTGACATTTGCTGTGAAGCCTGGGCTAGCTTAACTATCGTTTGGAAATTTCAGTGTAACTTTCTTTCCCCCTGTGATGGCGAAGACCACATGATAAGGAGTTAGGGCGCAGTTTCTCTAGTTACTTTGTCCCCCTGGTTCTGGGGCTTCCATGTCAGAGACCCTTTTCACTGTTACATGATTTTTAGCTCTTGCACTTTAGCAAGGTTTAAGGAATTACTCTTTTCAGGAAGTGACATCAGAGGTCAGTGTGATAAACGCAGCTCTAGTTGACAGCTGGGCATTGCACTCAGATTTCAAGAACATGGTGTCTTTCTGATGGGATGTTGTGGAGAGCAGTTTAAAAATGTTTTTGTCAGTACGTGTTCGCATTACATGATGATTACATCCCTTCTGTGGAGTTGGTACATGCACGTAACATACCTTATTTTCTCTTTAACCTCGGCCATCAAATTTTTTTTTTTTACAAAGGGACCAAAAACATAGGTTGTAGATCTCTCTTTACACATTTGAGGTTTTTAAGCTACTAGAGACTGAATCTAGGTCATAACACATTTCAGTTTCTTTTTTTTTTATCCTCTCTCCCTTCCCTTCCTTCTACCTCCTTCATTCACTTGATTCCTTTTCCATTTGAGAAAGATCTGTCTCCCTGCTTCCTATTATCTGTCTTTTATTTTGAGTTTCTCTTATATGTGGTATTTAAACCTGTATGTCTGATTTATTTCACATAACACTATGGTTTTAAGGTGCCTCCATTTTCCTACAGATGACTCAAGTGTGTCCTATTTATAGCCCAGTAACTACTCCATCGTGTATAACTACCACGTCTTCTGTACTCATTCATCTGTTGTGGACACACAGGCTGCTTCCAAGATTCAGCCATTATGAATTATGAATTGTGCCTCTGGAAACATGAGTAGGCTTGTATCACTGTAGTATGATGATGATGTATAACTCTTTAAGGAGTGGGATAGTGGGTCAAATGAAATTTCTAGTTTTAGTTTTTTAAGGGAAGAATTTTTATTTGTGCAATTGTCCACATCTCTATATAGCTGTAGCAACCAGTAGGAATAAAGAGTGAGCCAGTGGCAGCTTGTAAAGTTGTTAACATGTTGTTTGCTGTTGAAGCAGTTCCAGAGAAGTCTTGAACCTGTCCAGAGCACACTGCACCCTGTACCTTGTGCATAAATAACGTACAATAAATATCTGCTAGGAAAAGCATCACAGAGGCAAAGGGGCATAAACTCAGACCTATCTACCAATTGGTGTTGGAACTTGGTCCATTACCTTGGGGACATTTGTAACTTCTAAAGCCTCAGTTTTCACATTTTTAATCTGGGAGGAATATTTTCCTCTCACAGCACTAGGAGAGATCAAACAGAAGGATGTGTGTGCACCTCTGTGCAGGGCCTGGCACACAGAGTTCTCAGTGCATGGAAACAGTTACTCCTGAGTGTTGGCCTTGGGCGGTGATGGCCACGCCATTACAGTTCATGTGATTGCTACTGTGATCATTATTATCCTAGAGGGAGCAGGACTTGAGTTTGTCAGATTTGATGGGCTGTAAATAGATGTCTAGAGAGAAAGGCAGTCTTTCCTGATAGGGTTCTGTATTCTTGGATTTTTGCTTTATACTCTGAAAACTTAAGATTGGAATATAGGATCCCCAGTTTTCAAAGTCAGTAAGAACAGTAGAATAAAATTGTAAAGTGTTCTTCATGACTCCTAGCCCCACACTAAACTGCAGTGTCTGGGTCTCTCGACATACCTCTCTATCCACTGAGTCTTTGCCCCTGTGTTCAGAGACAAAGGCCCCTCCTGCCCAGCTGGTGGCCCCCATCTAGGTGGACAGTGTACTGCTCTGTCTGGTGTCACCACAGCCCGCTCCTTCCTGACATTACTGTATGTCATGCTGTGCTGTGGGTGCCTGGGGCACTCAGCTGATCCCCAGATATGTAAAGAGTGCTGTCTTTTCAGTTTACTAAGTCAGATAACAGTGAATGTTATCAAGCAGCAGATATTTGCTAGGTACTGTTCTAGCTTCTTGGAAAACATAATAGTGGACAAGATTCTTGGGAGGGCAAGCCAGCTACACCAGTTTTCTGGCATGATTTCAGAAAAGACACAGAGTAGCAGAGAACAGATTTGGTTGAATGTTCTTGTTTAATGGATCAGGAGATCAACTTCTCACAGCAGATGTGTGTAAGAGCCAGGTGCAAGAGCCTCCTCTTAGCACTTTTTAAAAACTCCTTTTTGCTTAAAGTTACTTTTAAAATTAATTCACATCTGTAAATCATTTGAAAGTATCCATAAAATAAATGAAAAGGAACAGTATTCCTAATTGGTTAATACCTGTAAGAGGCCCCAGGCTCACAGAGTTAAGATGATCGGCCTGAGGGTTGCTTGTGTGTGTGTGGATGTCTGTGTCTGTGTGTCTGGGTGGTGCTGGTGATTGAATCCAGGGCCTTCACACTGGACTATATCCCCTGTCCTTTTTCATTTTTCATTTTGAGACAGGATCTTGCAGAGTCGTTTATTTTCCAGGTTAGGTGCAAACTGGCCTTCCTCCTGCCGCAGCCTCCCAGAGGGCTGGGATTACAGGCCTGTCCCACCATGTCCACCTGACGATTGTTCTTTGACTTGAGCAGGATTAAAACTGGAATACATCATAGTATGTATATCAGTATTTTCCAGTGCTGCTGCCCTGAAGCGTGGCTTGATGTTTACCTGATAGTCGTCGTCAGTTTCACGCAGTTTGTGTTTTAGTCCTTGTGATTTTCAGTCACTGATGAGCCCTGGTGCATAGGGCTTTGGTTTTTCTGTCTCCAGGCTGTGGGCATGTGGAATATTCTGTTCATAAACACCAGCGGGCTGGCAAGCTGCCCAGAGGAAAGCTGGGTCAAGTCTTTTTTTAAGTGAAGGATGTTGCAGAGGTTGGAGTAATTGTCCATGATTTATCTGTGTAGAAAACGTTGCAGTCGGAAAGCTTAACTTGATTTGACCTTGTCAGGGAAAGTATGTGGGTTCTTTGTAGTAAGTCCAGCTTGCTAAATTGAGCATATCTAGGAAGGACTTTATTCCACTATTCACTGTCACATGGAACCCGATGGAACTGTCCTCAAAACCAAGTGACACCCTCAGCAAGCACCCACAAAGAGCATTTATTTTTTCACCATCATACCTTTATTTCAGAGCTGCCATTTCCAATGTCAGAGCCTTGACATGGATGGCTTTGGGCATGTGATGCTCTAACTTTGTTGTTGTTGTTGTTGTTGTTGTTTTTGTCTTTTTCCTTTTTATCGATACTGGGGATCAAACTCACGACTGCCTGCTTTCAAGGCAGGTGCTTATGCCGCTGAGCTAAACCCCCAGCCCCGATGCTCTAACTTTGGTCCAAAGGAACATCATGTAATGAACTCCCTGCAGCTAAGGATTACAAATTCACTGTAGACCTTCCTAAAGACTTTCCGTGATATGGGAGAGGTCTGGGAAGCCGACGGTTCCCATGATCATCTTCTCGTATGAGGTCCATGATGTTCAGATCTGTACAAATTCCTTGCCCTTGGCAATTCATTTGCTGCCCCTGTGATGGTGAGGCCTTTTAGTAGTGTACATTTTGCCCTGCATTTCATAGGTAATTCCTCCAGGGAGTTTTGTGACTACCGAAAGAGGAAAAATGTTAGGTTTCTGACAGCATCTTTGGGAATGGTTTTTCCTTTAAAACAGCTCAATAGCATTGAGTCCATTTTGTAACTTAATTTTCTGGCAGGCTAGGCATGGATCTGAGGGGTAGATGCAGGAAAAATGCACTACTCCTGCGTTACACCCATAACTCCTGTACCTGTGCTTTCGAACGTCAGCGCATGTGCAATACGTGTGTGTCTCGTACTGTGCAATACAATCCCATACACAAGAGAGAACATACATGACTGTCCCTACCCTTGGGAAACCTGGTTCTAGAAGGAGAAACAGTCTTGTTTCCTCCCAACTTATTGTGTTATTTTCAAGTAAATTATACACTTCCATGAAAGATAATTCAAAACATTTGAAAAGTGAAAAGCAAATCTCTTGTGTATCCCTGACACCAAGCCCTCTAGTTCTCTGCCTTAGGTGTAACCATTATCTCCAGGTTCTTGAGTATCCATCCAGTGTACCCTGGGATACAAACATTCATGTATAGGTGTATTTTTTCATTTATTTCTTTAAAGTTCCCTGTCCTGTTTATTTTTAAAAATTATAAATCTGTAGAAAAGTAAAGGACTAATACCATATAACCTTCACGTGGAATCCCTAGTGCTCAACATTTCATCCTGGTTTCCTTATTTCTTTCTTCCTAACCACACACATGTTACTTTTTCCTTCCTGAGCCTTTAGAGTGAGTAGCGGACCTGTACCTACATCTGTGTACAGTGTACGCTTCTGCACTGCAGCACAGGCTCCTGAGAACAGTGTCCCACCTGCACATGGCGTCAGCGCCCGAGCAGCACCATTACCCGGTGTCCAGGCTTGACTCAGAGTTCCCGGCTGTGTGCCTTAGAGTTCTGTCCTTTTAGACCCACGCCTGCTGGGGTCACCGTCGCACTGAACGGTCAGGCTATTAGTTCCCTCCTGATCTGCCCTACCTGTCCTCTTTCCTTCTGGTCCTCCACTTTTAAAAGGAGGCAACGTTAACAGAATCTCTCTCCAGCCCCTGCAGGCATTGGCCCATTCTCTCGCCCAGATGGACCTTGATGTGGTGAACATGTTTGTGATTGCTGGAGGGACGCTGGCCATCCCGATCCTGGCATTCGTGGCCTCCTTTCTCCTGTGGCCTTCAGCGTTGATAAGAATCTACTACTGGTAAGTTAATTACATAACTGGCCTTTTCAAGAACATGGTAATATTGTCAACAATGCTTATCCTATTTGGTGTTGGAATAAATGTTATGAAATTTTATTATGAAATGTTCAAACATAAAGAAAAGTTGAGCTGAGTGATGCACACCTGTGATCTCACACTTTGGGAGGCTGACACAGGAAGAGCACCCCAAGTTTGAGGCTAGCCTGGGCTAGACTGTGAGTTCAAGGTGAGCCTGAACTATATAGCAAGGCCCTGCCTCAAAAGTAAAATAACAAATAAATATTTTAAAAAATTAGAAAAAAATAAAACGTTTCCAGAATATCTGCTCTGCTCATACCGCCTTTGTTTGTGTCCTATCTGCAGACCACCTGGACTTTTGTATTTCCTGTAGATTGAGTCACTTCTCTGAAAACCTTTAATCTGTTTATTTAAAAAATGATTGGGGGCCAGGCATGCAGCTTAGTAGCCCATTGCCAGGCTGGAGTTCGATTCCTGGTTCCCCATACTTGCCATAAACAGTAAGTTAGTATTCAAACCGAATTTCAGCACGGTGACATTAAGCAGTCCATTCTAGCCTAAAAACGGCTGCCCCGAGGCCCTGCATCTGTGTTCTCCTTGTAGGGCGCCAGGAAACACAGCTGCCCTAAGAGAGTACCGCTTTGTGGGGTAAGGAGGTGAACAGAAAGTGCTTCCCCCTCCTGCGCATTCCCGACTTTCCACACCACTGCCTGCTTGCCACAGACAGTCACCCCGCTACCCGCTGGAAAGAACATTGAAACAGTCCTGAATGTTCCCTAAGGGAGCCCCAGGTTTGACCAGCGTGGGGGAGTTGGCGGGCATTTCTGCACCCAGAAGTGCTCAGCGGTGCCCTTTACTTGCCCTCTTTTTGGCTTCTTGCACTTTGCTAGAGTGTGGGATTTGTCACCAACCAGTTGGGCTCTAGTTCTTGAAAAGAAGCTAACTGAGCAGAGCAGCTTTCATCTCTCACTCTCTGTCCCTCTGGGTGTTGGGGAGATGATGACCCCTCAGAGAGTCACCCAGGACCCACCTTCACTGACAAAGCCAAACCTGCAACTTCGTAACTGCTACCGCCCCTGCAGCACGGGTCGCGGGAGTTCTGTGCCTGGGACCAGGGATCCTGGGTGGCCCCTGACCAGGGGTGGCTGCCGTTGTGTTCCTACCCTCATGGCTCTGCCTCAGCACCGTGGGCCACCACACTCAAATGCCATTCTCTATTCAGCAAACCAAGTGGGGGCAGAGTGCAGTTTACTGACATGGACTGAGGCCATGGATGTGGCTGTCCCAGAGGGTAGAGATAGAAAAGCCTCTTCTGCTCTCCTGCTGTGGAAACTAGCCTCAGTGCTGCTGTGGTCTCTGCCTCCTCCGTCCCCAGGCTGCTGAGGAGAGCACTTCAGTCGAGGTCACCCCTGAATATTTGGGGGTTTGGCTTTGTTTTATTTGCAGTGCTGTTTGTAGCTTATATGTGCTAGGAAATAGTTGATTTTTGAAAAGTTACTTCCTAGCAAATATTTCATTTTTATTGATTTCAAATTCACATAAAATTCACCATGTTAAAGCATACAGTTCATTGGTTTTCATATATTTACGGTGCTTACAGTCATCACCGTGTAATTCAGAGCTTTTCTGTCTCCCCAAAGAACCCCCATACCTGTTAGTGGCCACTCTCATTCCCCCCTCTCCCCCGCTGACAACCACTCTCCTGCTTTCCATCTCTGGATTTGCCTGTTATGGACATTTCATGTAAGTGGAGTCGCACAATCTTGCTTTCTGTCTGACTTCTTGCATTTAGCATAGTGTTCTCAGGTTTATCTATGTTGTCCTGTGAATCAGTACTGCAGTCCTTGTTGTGGCTGACTGATACTCCATTTTGTGTGCCATGGACCGTCTGGTTTTCCCCTCGGTAACTCCCGATGACAGTTGGCTGCCAGGGTAATGATGTTGAGAGGCCATGGGGCCTTTACCAGGTGATTGAGTTGTTAAGAGATTAACATGGTGCTGGGGGCCTGGACTGTGTTACCGAGTGAGCGTGGGTCCCTGCAGAGCAAGGCAGCCCCTCCTGTTTTGTCTTCTGCACGTGCCTGCTGCCCTTCTGCTTTTTCCATGAGTGGAAGCAGCAGAAACCCCGCACCAGAGGCTGGGCAGAAACCATGCGCTTGGACTTTCCAAGCTCTTGAAACATGAACCAAAATGAACCTCTACTTATAAGTTACCTGGTCTGTGGTATTTTGTTATAGCACGAGAAAACAGACCACATTTCGTTTCTCCATTCAGCTGTTGCTGAATACTTGGAGTTGTTTCTGCCTTTTGAATGTTATAAATGCTGGATTTTAAAATTTTATTTATTAATTTATTTTTTTGAGATAGGGTCTTGCTATGTTGCCTAGGCTAGTTTTAAACTCCCAGGCTTAAGCAGTCTACTGCCTGTGTCTCCTGGCATGCCCTCCATCCCCCATGCCTAGCTCAACGCCTGTGATCTGAAAGCCTTCCTAGGCTGATCCCAGCTCTGAGTGGTGGCCGGAAGATAAACACAGTGTTTCTGTGAACTCAGATGCACAGGCCAAGAAGAAACCCCAGCTGGTTGAGGAGGATGAGAGTCCTAGAAATCCTTTCAGATCATGCCAGATGGCGCTATGACATGGGGGATTATGATTATAGTGACAGCACCTATGGCGCCACTGCAGAAGCTGTCAAAAACCCTGGTTCGCTCTCTGCCTCACTGAAAAGCGTAGCCCAGTTGCCTCTGAGTCACCTCACTGCAGGTAGCACTTACACGTGGTGAGTGGCTGTGCCATGAGTCCCTCACCTCCCTGAATTACAGCCACCCCAAAGGCTTTCTGACCACCAGTGGGGTCAGCTTGCAAAACTAGGTGCATCAGTTAATTTTCCAGTTTTCCAGGCAAACAGCAATTGCAGGTAGGAGAGACAGCCCTGCCCTGCCTCACCCCACCCCTGCTGCCCTATTGTGCAGACATCACACTGCACTCCTGGCTCCCTGGAGGTCTTCCCAGCTTCTCAGGGGCCAGGCACAAGTGTCCTCAGAGACCACAGCCAGTCTCCAGAGCAGCTTTCTCTGAGGCCGAGCATCCCTGGAATGTGGCCAGCCCACTGCCACAGTGACATGGACAGTGGTTGCTCCTGTAGGAGGTCCCACATGCTTCACTGAGTCAGCAGTGGCACAGCGGGATGCTGTGACTGCTTGGGTGCGTGGCTTCCGCAGCAGTGCTGATTTTCACTGTGTAATGAGAACACCGAGACCATCCCTAGGTGGAAAAGACTGAGATTCTCCAGGTGTTTTGCTTTACCAAAGAAACTCAATTGTGAAATTAGAATAAAAAAGTGTAGTAAATAACTGGAGAGAGTAAGAGGGACATGAGTTGGAAAGGAGGAAATAAAATGAGCGTTTTCTGCAGCTGGCAGGACTATAGCTAGACCATTGGAAAGAACTTATAAATAATAAGTAAATTTGGCTGGGATGATTAATACAAGATCAGTAATAAAAACCAGTTATATCTCCGCATCAGCAACAAGTGAAAGAAATGAAAAACAAAGAATTTAATGGTGTTATTTATCATTGATAATTATAAATTAACTAATAATAACGTAAAGAGTAACATAGAACGCTCTATACAGAAAATACAAGGTATTTGTGAGGGGAATTTAAAAAGACTCAATTAATGAAAGTATATTTGCAAGTTGGAAGCCGTCACTGTAGAAATGTCAGACCTATCTGCAGTGACCTGCAGATTCAATTTATTATAACAGGTTTCTTTGTGACGGAACTTTTTTCTGGTTTGTTTGTGGTACTGATGATTGAATGCAGGGGTGCTCACCATTGAACCACAGCCCCAGAAAACTGGATGTGATGGCACATGCTTGTAATCCCAGCACTAAGAGGATCGCCACCAGTTGAAAGCTGGCCAGGATTACCTAGTGACTTCAAGGCCAGCCTGGACTATAAGAGCAAGACCCACTCTCAAAAAACTAATAAAAAACTTTTTAAAAAAATTTTGAGACAGGGTCTTGTTAGTGATCCAAGATGACCCAACCTTGCGATCTCCCTGCCTCAGCCTCCTGAGTAGTTAGGATCACAGGTGTGCACCACTATACCCGGCCTATTGATGGAATTTAATAAGCTAATTCTAAAAATTTATAAGAAAAAGCAAAGGACTGATAAAACAAGACAATTTCTAAAGAGAACAAAGATGATTTATGCTACCAGCTGTTAAGACTAATTACAATATTATAAAAGTTGAGTCAGTGTGAAATTGGCGCTGAAGAAGACGGACTGGCAGAACTAGAGAATCTAGTAATAGAGTCTACTGCTTGGCCAGATCTAGTAGTAGATCTGATTTCTGACAAAGGTAGTGTGCCTTGCAGCAAACGGGCCCTGGGCTAACTAGATAACCATCTGGGCAAAGCTTGCTTTTCACACGTTTGTTAGGAACAGTGCCGAACCTGGAACCTCAGAGATGTCCCTCCCTAATCCCCAAACCTGTGACTGTGAGGACACAGCATTCCGTGGTGCAGCCATGTTATCTGCAGTGACTGTGTTACACTGTATGCAGTGGACTTTAGAACAAGGACCTTATCTACTGAGCCTCATGTACTCACCCTAACTAACTAACCCTTAAGAGCAGAGAGCCGCAAGGCCTGCGGAGAGAGGACTCAGGGCTGTTCCTCCTCTGACGCTGGAGAGGGATGCATGGGGGGTGCACAGGTGGGTTTTAAGACACTGACAGTCTTCACCTGAAGGCCTGCACACACACAGGAGCCTCGGTCCTACAGCCAAAGGAACTGAATTCTGCCTGCAGGGTACACTGAGTTACATGGTAAGACGGAGTTTTATGCTGTGTTTATTTTACCACACTAAAAAAAAAGATAAAGAAGTTGAAGTGCTTTCTTCAGAATTTCCCTGTAACTGGAGGAGAAACTTGTAGAACGCGGATTCTGGGCACTGAGGAAGTTCCTTTTTTGGATTTCTCAATGTAGGTCAGTAGAGCCTGCAGTGTCTTCTGTCCTAAAGCAGGAGCATTTGACTTCTGTGCAGTCACGCTCTTGCCACGTTCACTCACCTCATCTTAATTCTTGTGTTTCTGTCTGTAAAGTTGCCAGGAGGTCTAATCTCTGACCCTGGGAGTCAGAGAGAGAGAATTACTGTTTCCTATGGTTAACCCAGAGAAGCTGTAGTCTGTCTCTTTCCATCTGGGCCATGGGTCTTCTGCAATGTTTTAGCTGGGCCTGTAGCTTCAAGTCTTTTTCCCAGCTGTTCACTGAGAGCATTTTTTTGAAATTACTGACATCTACCTTCTCACTGGGACTAGAGCCTTAGTCCCCTAAGGTTTCCTTGGAAACTGATTGTGTGAAAACTAGTGGGCGCCCCGCTTGGCCTCCTCACTGACTTCCTGGCCCTGTTCTCCTCATGCGGTGCAGCTCGTCCCTGTGTCCCCAGGTCCTGGCCTCTGCCCTTTGACCTCCTCTCCACAGTTTCCAGCTGCTACCTTTGGGTGTCTGGTAGCTGCTCAGTTCCACCTTGTCTGAGAGGTATTCTTAGTGTGGCTTGCATCAGTTTGTGAACTTTTTTATATATTAAGGGTATCTTTTTTTCTTTTTCTTTTCTTTTCTTTTTTTTTTTGGCATGGGAATCGAACTCAGGACCTTGTGTTTGTCAGGCAGACGTTGTGTCACTTAGCTATGTCCCTGGCCCAAGGGTATCAATCTTTGGGTTAGTGATGAGTGTTTTCTAGCCATGCATGAGGCTCTGGGATCAATTGCTAGCCCCCTGGAGAAGAAAAAAAGGGGAAAAATAAAGATATCAAGTGTGACTCATATTTGTTGCAAATATTTCCCTCCACTTTTCCCTTGAATGTTGGCAAATGATATACCACAAGGATAGAATTCTTTTTATATAGTAGCGGTATCCACCACTTACTGAATATTTACCATGCCTGGATTTGCACAGAACATTGTATGTGGATGATCTTTTTAACTGTTGCTGTGTTCTTCCTGGAATGCAGAATTTTTTTTGTATTATCCGTGAGGAGTTGAGGTTCAGGATCTTAGAGTCAGCCAGAGATGTAGCTCAGTGGCACAGCGCCTGCCGGGCAAGCACAAGGTCCTGAGTTCGATTTCCAGTACCAAAATAAAATAAGATCCTGTAATCAGTAAATGAGTAAGCTTAGACCTAGAGCCTGAGTGAAAGAACAAACACTGCAATGCTATGGTTTAGAATTCTGAAATGTTTGCTTCCTCATTTGATGAGCTGATAAACTGGCCAATTCTATTTTTAGTAGAAATGTAAATAGCAATGAAGTCATTGAAGAGTATCAAAAGGAACACAGACTATGTCTTCCATGTCCATTCTCTAGCTCCTTACACTGTTCTCCACCTCTACTCAGATACCTTTAGTGGATAGTGTTCTCCCACATTTTTTGTGTGCAGATATGAGTAAGTACTTGCCGCCTTCTTCCTTTATTTTACACACATGGGTAAAGCCAGTTGGTTTAGGTTACTGGTTTTTACAAGGTTTGCCTGCCTCCTTATAGTGTAAACTATATCCCCAAGCACATCTCTGTTTGGATTGCCTTCCATTTTGGAGACCCTTCCAGCAGAGTTCAGTTTGTTTGGATGGAAGTTTCATGCTGAAATCAAGGCAGGGCCGAACTGTAGCTCTGCCAAGTCTTATGTAATCAACAACAGCTGAGCTCTCAGCCAGCTCCCATATGTTGTAAAGAATACAAGCTAGCGGGTGGGTACACAGGGTTCTCAAGAAATAAATTAGTCTCAGAGTATCTGTCTAGAACTATGTACTCACACAGAGTTCTGTGTGCAATATGCCGGGTGCTGCCCTTTCTTAAGAAAACATGCTGAGCCAGGCATGATGGTGCATGCCTATAATCCCAGCACTCTGGGAGGCAGAAGCAGGAAAACTGCAAGTTCAAGACCAACACAGGCAATTTAGCAAGATTGTTTAAAAACAAAAAACTGAGGATATAACTCAGTGCAGGGCCCTGGGTTCAGTCCTCAGTACCACTGGAAAAGAAAACACAGTACTTCTTTGTCCTTCGTGCTTCCTGAAAGTAAAGACCTGGGGAACTTCACAGAGGCCAGAAGTGGGGAAAATGTTTTACTCACCACCAAGTGGGGTATCTAGGGAGGATGCCTGTCCCTCAAAGCCACTTACTGAGAGCGTGCTGCTTTTGTTTGCCTTTGTTCCCCCAGGTACTGGCGGAGGACGCTGGGCATGCAGGTTCGCTATGTGTACCACGAAGACTATCAGTTCTGCTACTCCTTCCGGGGCAGGCCTGGGCACAAGCCGTCCATCCTCATGCTCCATGGCTTCTCTGCACACAAGGACATGTGGCTCAGCGTGGTCAAGGTGCAGTCTGCCACTTCTCCCTCAGCAGGACAGGGCTTCTGTGTGCATGTGATGTCCCAGAAAGAGTGGAAAGCAGAGGGAACCCAGAGCCACAGTCCAAGTTCAGTCTTAAAACTAACACAATATAGTAAGTTTATGCAGATTGTCTTGTCAGACAAAACTTACTGAGTTGAGTATTCTTTGTAAAATCCGTGCCTTAGAAATCTGTTTGCCCTGTTTTAGCAGAGATTTCTGTTTCTGATGCAGCTTCAGCTCAGAACTGCCACACTCATCAAGGCTGAGCTTTTAACAAGTGTTTGTTCTTTTATACTCCAGGTTTCTTCTCTTCCTCCCCACAACCTTCTTTTTACACTGTCCCCTTCCCCAATTCTTACACTTTAGAGCACTCACTGCCACCTCCACCAGGGTCCCCTGCCATGTGCTGGAGATTGAACAGAGCCTTCACACTGAGCTACATCTCTGGCTCTTTTTCAAACATTCTTTGTTTTAAAGGAAAATCTCCCTGATTCGCCAGGTTGCCGAGGATGGACTCAAACTTGCCATTTCTCTGCCTCAGCTTCCCATAGTGCTTGGATTATAGGCATGTGCATCATGCCTGAGCCTGTTTTCTCTGCCATTTAGAGAAACAGTCTTGATCAGGCAGCCTTCTGGAATAATTGTCCAAGTTGTCCTGGTTTGTTTACTGTGCATGTTAAGAATGACCAGTTAATGAAGATTAGGACTGGCAGAAGCCTGGGAAGGGATATCCTTGATCAGACCTGAGGGTTCCCAGGTGTTTTCTATCTCCAGAGGAAAACACACACATGCTCCAGTTACTGGTGTTCCTATCTCCAAATGCCACTGTGAGGCCATTCATCTCTCTTTTTTTTTTTTTTTTTTTTTTTTTTTTTTGTCTTTTTCGTTTTTATCGGTACCAGGGCTCAAACTCATGACTGCCTGCTTGCAAGGCAGGCGCTTATGCCGCTGAGCTAAATCCCCAGCCCCCGAGGCCATTCATCTTCATGCTTCCCTCCTCACTTTCTGTTCCCACTCTGCCTTCTCTGTGATTGGATATTTGTTTGTTGGTTACTGATCTTTTCCAGTTTTCCAGTCGAGAGTGGGAATCTCAATATGGTAAAAGATGCTTTAGGATAACAATCATCTAAAAGAATTAGAAAAAGAGAAAAATTCAAACCAGCGTAGGGTGATCAGACCTGGTTTTGGAGAAGCCAGGCATGATGGCACACATCTGTAATCCCAGACTTGAGAGGCTGAGCAAAGAGTTCAAGGCCAGCTTGTGCTACATAGTGAGCTCAAGACCAGCCTGAATATGTAGTGAGACCCTGTCTCAAAAAATAAAACAAAACAACGCATGGTCTTGGGGAAAGCATTTCTCCTGTTGGCTCAGAAGCTGGCCAGGTTTCTGGGAAAATACAACCATCCCTTAAAGTTCCAAATAAGATGCCTTGTGGAAGAGGGAGGGAAAGGGAAAAGCTGGTTTCTGCTGAGCAGTGTTAACAAAGAACAATAAAAGAAAGAAAGAAATCTCAGTAAGCCTGCTCACTTGTTTTGTGCCCCATCTCCACCTATCTACTGTGCCCCTTTTCATATATTAGTCTTTGGGGGTCTACACCCCATGAGCCTACTGGCAGTGCTTATGCACATTAATACTGGGAGGCCTGGAAGTATAAGCCCAAAGATGGCTTCCCAGGTCACTTGGTAAATGGGGGCACCCTTGTTAGAAAAGTGGGCAGATACCTCTTGCACACCTGATACTGACTCTGGGCTTATGTACCCTCAGTTCCTTCCAAAGAACCTGCACTTGGTCTGTGTAGACATGCCAGGACACGAAGGCACCACCCGCTCCTCCTTGGATGACCTGTCCATAGATGGACAGGTCAAGAGGATCCATCAGGTAAGCAGGAAGATCCTCCGCCATTGCATGCTCCAGGCTGGAGGCAGGCGGGAGCTTCCACCCTGACTCCTGGGCAGCGCTCCCTGGTGACACTGCAGCCTGATGCTGTCCTAGGTCAGCTGGAGAGGGCCAGAGCTTGGTACAGACTGTGCCCTCTTAGCCTCCTGCACTGGCCTTTCTCAGCTCCTTGGAAGGGGAGTCCAGAGTTCCTCAAGACTATCCCTTTTTGGAGGTCTCATGTTTTCTCTTACCAGCTGCATGGCCATGGTGTAGCACTTCTGCCTAGAGAGGGAGGGTGTGCTTTGCATTTTGTTGTATTTCAGCATCATCTCTAGCTTTCTCTAGCTGGGCTCTCCAGGGCAGGAGCCTATGAGCCATTTCAAAACTCAGGAGCTCTTACATTTCAGGTTAATATTAAGTAATTTCCCCAGATGAGGATATTTATGTAATAATGTTTGCCTTCTCCATTGACCCTACACTTTAATGAAATCAGGAATCTTATTTCTTTGGCCTTTTGCTGTATCCTCAGCTGTGGATTCTCATTTCTTGTGCCTGATAGATACATAAAATTTTTTAGATGGTGGATAGATGAGTGGGTGGTGGTTGGATAGGACAGGCTGTAGATGAGGGCAGGAGTCATTGAACTGTGGCCCTTGAGCTTTCTGGCCTTTTGGCTTTTATTTTATTGGTACGTTAGATATACATAATGATAACATTCATCATAGGAATTTGTACTTGTACATATCTTGCTTCTTCCTTTTTCTCATTCTCCTCCATTCAACCCCTTTACCCCTCCTTATTTACAAAAGCTTTGTTTCTATTTTTTCCTTTTTTTTTTCTTGTCCTTTCTTTCCTTTCTCTCTCCGCCCTTCCTTGTTCACCTCCTCATTTGAACATTTTCTTCCCATTTCCCAGTATTTGTTATATATTTTGGTCCTTATCTATACTTTTGTTTTCTCACACAAGAGAAGCAGTATAGTATTTTAACATGTCTATTCAGGTTTATCTTTTTTATGGTAGGGTAGTACTCCATTATATTAAAAAAAAAAAACCCACCTCTTCTTTATCAGTTCATTGGTTGATGAGCACCTGGGCTGTTTCCATGATCTAGCTATTACAAATTGTGCCACTATAAACATGGGTGCACATATATCGCTGTGGTATGATGCTTTTAATTCTTTTGGGAAGATGCCCAGAAGGGAGATGGCTGGGTTTCATGGACCTCCCACTGCTTTTGTTAACTGTTTTATTGGAACACAGACCCAGGCATTCAGCTAGGTGTCATCTGGCAGCCAGTGGCAAAGGTGAATGGTTGCAACAGAACACATGCAGCCCCACAGCGGAAAACAGTTACTCTGCACCTTCCTGGAACAGTTTCCTGCCTCGTGGCTGAGGGACTGAGAAATGTCCCCAACATCACTTTTGCTGAGTAAAGAGAAGCACACACTTGTCGAAGGCTCTTTCTGTGACGGGGCCGGCAGAGTCTCAGGTCCCCTTTGTCCACAGTGTGTCGCACTTCCCGTGGCCATGCTCAGCTCTGCGGGATTCTCTCCGCACGATCACCCAGCACTGCCAGTGTCTCACGGTAACCTCCTTCTCATCTCCCTTCCTAGTTTGTAGAGTGCCTAAAGTTGAACAAGAAGCCCTTCCACCTTGTGGGTACCTCGATGGGCGGCCACGTGGCTGGAGTATATGCTGCTTACTACCCGTCAGACATCTGCAGCCTGAGTCTGGTGTGTCCCGCGGGTGAGTGCTGATGCTGGAGGTCCCGTGAGTGAGCGGAGCAGGGCGGCCTGGCCCTCGGGCGACACAGGTGGCCACTGTCTGCTGTGGCGGTCTTTAAAATCCTCTTCTGATGTGAACTTTAGGAATATGCAGTGTTTAGTGATGACTAACCAAACAATAGTTATACACTCAGAATCATTACCAGCCTGACTTAAAATGTGGAGCCAACCCTGTTCCATGAAGAATTTAAGGTAGATGGTTAAAATGTGCACAGTGCTTTGAAGCACATAGATATTTTGAGATACAGTGTGAATATTAATATTCACCCTGCATTGAGCTCTCAGTTGCTAAGGTCTTTATATGGGTTTAATTTCCCCAATAACCATATGAAAGCACGCCTATAATCTCAGTGCTCTGGGAGGCTCAGGCAGGGTTCTCGGGGGCTCTCGGTGCACCTGGTCAACAGGCCACAGTGTGAGTAACCAGCATGAAAACACAGTCTTGAAGGACTTTTGTTTGTTTCTCTAAGCATGTTTTTGACTTTAAGTAAAGATGCAGTGCCAACTAAAAAGAACTCTGGTGAAAGAAACCTGAAGTGTATTAACTTTGGGCTGTTACTGGAAGTTCCCTGCATAAAATGTGGGTTGTTACAAAGACAGATGTACTGTCAAGCTGTTTTGGTTTGAATCCCACAGGCCTGCAGTATTCAACTGACAATCAGTTTGTACAGCGGCTCAAAGAGTTGCAGGAACCAGAAGACGTGCAGAAGATTCCCTTGATCCCATCTACCCCAGAAGAGATGAGCGAAATGCTCCAGCTCTGCTCCTATGTCCGTTTCAAGGTGCCCCAGCAGGTACTGTCTCAGTACCACATGCTCACCTTCTGCCAGGCCCTTGGGCGCCAGCTCCTTGTGCATTCCCTCCTGCATCTACCCTCAGCTCCATCTTGTCCTCTTCCATTTATTTATCTGTCCTTGAGACACGGTCTCGCTATGTAGTTCAGGCTGGCCTTGCACTAACTTGTAGCCCAGGCTGACCTCAAACCTACTGTGATCCTCCTGCCCCAGCCTCCTGAATGCTGGGACTACAGGCATGTGCCACCCCACTCCCGGCCTCTTGCATTTATTCATTTCACACATACCTGTAGGGTGCCTGTGATATGTCAGGTTTTACTGGACATAGTTTTATATATGAAAGAGAAGGTCCCTGGGCAGAGCAGTCTAGTGCAAGAGACAGACAGTTAACAAATAAACAAAAAATTACAAATTGAAATGCATTATTGAGAGGAAATGAAGATGATACAGTGGTTGAAAAATGGAGCCAGGAGTTGCCATGACCCACGTGCCTATTGAAGTTCCTGAGGTGAAGGACTGTGAGAGGATGGGAAAACAAAGAAGAGACAAAAGCGGAGGTCAGGTGGAACCCTGTCTCCTGAGGGGAGGAAAGGGACTGCTCAATCTCTATAGCAGTTCATTTATACACTTGGAGGAGGATGTCAATTTCAACCCACTGCCTCGCCACCTGTTTGCCTGGCTGGCCTGGGCCCTGGCCTTCTTAGAGCTGGAATGGCTTGTTTATGTGGCTTGCTTTGGGCTTTCTGGGCTCTCAGGGCTGGCCTTGCTTTAGCCCCACACATGTGACCAATCTCCAGCTTCAGCAGCTCCCCACAGGGAGTAGCTCTGGTCAGCCTGTCTGCGGGGACAGTATGTGCAAAAGTGAAAAGGTACACAAGGTCAGGACAGTAGGATAGAGGCGTCTTAGGCCCAGAGGGTAAGGACGAGAATGGGGTGAGAGGAAGTGGAAAGGAAGGAGGTGCTGAAGCACATTGCCAGGTAAAAACATTCAGTGGACATGGTGGCACACGCCTATGACCTCAGCACTCTGAGAGTACTGATTGCTGTAAAACAGAGGTGCTGGGCCTGTTGTCATTGTCACAGCCCTAGGTTCAATCCCTAGCACCAAAGAAGAGGCAGTACTTAGGAGCCCTTTACACTCCTAAAACTCAAGGCCCGTATTTATGGGGGCTGTATGTCTTGGCATTTGTGCAAGCACTGATTCCATGAGCATAGAGAGCTGGCGATCTCCTCGTGACATAGGGCCTGAACAGCCGTATGCTTTGAGAGACTCCCAAGTGAAAAGGCAAGTGAAACTGAGTACTGTGGTGAGCATAGGGTGGCTCACACCCTGAAACTCACCTGAGAACTGCTGGACTGGTCCTATGGGGCCTCATGGGTTATGGGAAGGAGCCCAGTGTTTATCTGAGAATAGAAATGCCCTATGCAGGATCGTAGGGGAGCATACACAGAAGCAGAAGCCCAGGGGCTCTGGTGAGTTGGAAACGATGCTGTGGACTACGGTGGTAGCAGTGCAGCTGAGAGCATGAAAACATCAGTAGGAAGAAGAATGGACAGGGCTTCCTGGGAGGTTGGAAGTGGTGGCCCAGACATCACAAGTGGCTTGCAGTCCTGAGTAATCAAGTAGCTAAAGGTAGCATTGTCTGAGCAGGGGAAGGAGAATGGACAGATTTAAAGCATACGAAAGAGCTTTGGACATGCTAAGCAAAAGCAGCAAGTTGTTGGTTCTATAAGTGGTGCTGAGGGAGATCTGGCTGAAGTTGCAAAGTGAGAGCTGCTGGCAGAGGAAGACAGACTGACTGAGCTCCCTTAGGGAGAAGCTGTGGGGGACTCTTATGGTTTAGATGGAGATGTCCCCCAAAGGTACCCATGTGCTCATACGCAGGGCTTCAGGAGGGTACGTGACTCCTGGAGCAGTATAGCTTACTTGGTGCTGGAGGTAGGGTACAGTAGGGTTAGAGGCAGGTTACCGTGGGCGTGACCTGGAAGGGTACGTATCCCTTCCTAGCTCCTCCCTTTATTGTCTGCTTCCTGCACCATGACATGAATAACTTTTCTCCATAGGCCTCTCTGCTATGCTCTTTTCATCTCAACCATGGCCTGCAAGCACGAGCCAAGATAAAGGTTTCTGCTTTTAAATTTTGGGTGTCAGGTATGTGTCTCAGGAATGAGGAACCTGACTGAGATAGGACCAAGAAAGCAGAGTTCGTGGCTGAGGCCTTAGGACCCCAAATTATTTATCTATTTAGGCATTGTAAACATGACTCAGTCACTAGGCATGGGTTATCCTGACAAAGACTCAGAATCTGATTCTGTGGTATGTACTGTCTTTGAAATCCTGATCTCTTCCAGAATTGTGTGGCCAGTGTTTTAGAAGACTCACAAGTTTTGTGTAGTCAAGGATAGGAAAACACTGAGAGAAAATAAACAGGAGCTCCAAAAACCTTTCCTTTCCAGGAGACCAGGAGCGTCCAGCACTTGAGGGCCATCTTGCATGGTGGCCGTGGTTTCTGGTCTGTCTTCCACTCTCAGCTCTTTAAGATCAGGGGCTTCGCCTTAATTGGCTGTTTTGTCTCCTGACTTTAGCAGTTTGTTGATGGAAGTCCCAGGTCTAGATCAGATGGATGATAGATGCCTTGATGATTCAGGGTGGAGAATGGATGGAAGGGTAGACACCGGAATCTGGGTGAACTGATGCCGTCCATGCACGGATGATGTAGGACTGTAGGAAAGAATGGGTGGCAGAGTGGTTGGTTGGGTGAAGATGGGACGGTACCTGGCGAATGCAGGGATGCAGGGTGGATGAACTGAGGAACACAGGATGAACAGTCATATGCACATGTCAGTTGGAAGCAGGATGGACAGATGTATCCATCAGTCAGTGAAGCAGAGGTGCAGGATGGATGAATGCAACATGGACAGATACATGGGTTCAGGGCCAATGCTGAGCACAACATTTGCTCAGCAAATGTAATTGTTCTCACTTCTGTGCTTCTACTTTGAGAGCCAGAACTATTTAGTTTCGTTCCAGAGGGTTGCTTTCACCCAAAGGAGCATGGCTGAGTCTTCCCAACGTCTTCAGTTGTACCCAGGGCTCCTGAAGGGCACTGAAGCTACTTAGGTTGAGTCCCAGGTGAATACAGGAAATGGCAGCTGCTCCTATGATTTCTGGACTCTGCCTAAGAGTTCTGAGGCAGGAGGAGCATTTAAAGACACCTCTTTGGGTCAGTAGCCTAGGTGATGGCTGACACCCCCACTAGCCCTCAGCAGGGAAGGCAAATGTGACATCAAATATGAGAAGTGCTGCAGAAGCCAGGTGTGGTAGCAACACCTGGAACCCCTGCACTGGGGGTCTGCAGCAGGATAGAGAATTTGAAGGCAGCCTGGGCTACTCTGTCTCACAAAACAAAATAAAGCATTATGGAACCCTCTCCAGAACTTCCTCAATAGTTTTTTCTTCATTGTATAATAAACCCCAATCATCCCCAGCTGTTCTATTTTTTAGAACAACTTTGTTCTACATTTGAATATCAGTGAATAATTCCTTGATACTATGTTTGTTATCTTGATTGTGTTTAAAGCTAAGCAGAGAACTTCTCAAGATAAAGTTGTAAAACTGCTCAGGTATCTTTTTACGTGCTGCAGGAGCCCTCTGGTTTCACCTGTCCCTCTACCTGTCCTCCCTCAATTTGAAAAGTTAAAAAAAAAAAAAGACTTTCAAGGAGTCTGTTTCCCAGTTACATTTGGACATCCTGAAAACTTACAGGACTGGTTCTTGACAAGTGCAGTGCATGGCTAGATTTTCTGGCATGTTGTTGCACAGAGCTGCGAGGGGTCTGGGAAAAGGAGCCTTCTCCTGCTTTCTGACTTTGGGTTGTTTATCCTCAGATCCTGCAAGGCCTTGTTGATGTCCGAATCCCTCATAACAACTTCTACCGGAAGTGTAAGTAGCCCTCTTTCTGGTTGGAACTTGGTACAGGTGAAGCTTAGGGTGGCTGTCTTTTCTTTCTGAAACTTCTGCAACTTTGTTGTTTTCTGGGCCCCCAAGAGAGGCTGTGGTGGCTTCGACTTCATTATGCTGTCCCTCATCCCTCATGCCCAAGGGCACAAGTCTGCACACACTCACCATGTTTTCTTTTTCTGCAAGTGTTTTTGGAAATCGTCAGTGAGAAGTCCAGATACTGTCTGCATCAGAACATGGACAAGATAAAGGTCCCCACACTGATCATCTGGGGGAAACAAGACCAGGTATGGTACAGTGTCCTGTAGAAGCACTTGACAAACAAGTGGTTATTTACAGATTGAGCCTCCTGGGTGATTTTTGTTAGGGGAAGAGGTGCCACACCTGTGCCGGGTGCCGGCGTTCACAGGAGCAGTCTTACGAGTTGAGAGCAGTGACATTTGATTTTTAACATGCAAGACAATTTGAATTATTTTTTACTGCTTTTTTATCAGCTGGTCACAGTGGTGTTGTTCTAGCTACTCAGGAATCCATAATGGGGATTCCTTGAGCCTGGCACAGTGTGACAAACCTACAGTGCATGTGCTGCTGTGGGCTGCATGTATCATTGAGAACACTAAAAGGTTTGCAGCACTGGCCTAGGAGTTAGGAGTTCAAGGTTAGTTTTAAAAAATCAGTCACATACTCAGAAAACTCCCAAAGATTACCAGAAAATTTATTGTGAAAACTTACTCTCTTTCACATCCCAAATCTCAGTTTGTTTCTTTGAGACAACTTTTATTACCTTACATATATTTCTTAAGCTAGAGCTTGGAAAACTTTCTGTAAAGGGCTAAATAACAGGTATTTTTGGCTTTGTGATCCAGGCTGTTAAAACTGTTCAGTTCTGCCCTTTGCTGTAAAAACAGCCTTAAATGCATGTAAACAAATGGCATGGTTGTGGCCTAGAGGACCTTGGTTTATAAAACCATAGAGAGGGGGCTGGGAGTGAAGCTCGGTGCTGGAGCACACCCTAGTCTGCCAGAGGCCCTGGAGTCAGTCCCCAGCTCTACCAACAAACCCCCAGAACAGAAGCACGGTGAGCCATTGTTGCCTACTCCTCCTCTAACTCATATCTGTCTATCTATCTGTACATATATATGTAAATAGTGTGTATATATGCCTGTATTTTTTAGTACAAACTTCATCTGTTTCAGTAATGTTTTACTCTTCTCCCCCTTCTCTTGACTCCCTGATCCAACCCAATATCTACTATTCAATATCATATTTCCTTAGTCTCAAACATGTCCTTGGTTTGCCCTTGTCATCACGATGTTGAGATATGTGGAGCGTGCAGACCCATTCTATAGAAAGTGTTCTTCAATTTGAGTTTGTGGATCATTCTGGCTGCCTAGTCAGACTGCTATCTGCTTCAGCCTTGTGGAGCTTCTAATAAGCAGGCTTTGGGACCAAGCAGTTGTCCAACCATCTTCAAACATCCCTCCTAGATTAGTCTTTAGCATTGTCATTGTTGTTATTATTATTATTATTGTTTGGTACCACTGTGGCTTTTCTTTTCTTTTTTTGAGGCAGAGTCTCCCTGTGTTCCAGTTTGGCCTTGAACTTGCAGACTTGTCTCTACCTGCCCGAGAGCCTGGGATGCATACGTGTGCTGCCACACCCAGTTATCTTCATTCTTTTTAAGAACATAATAACCCATTACATGGCAGTGTTGTTCTGTGCTTAGTGCCCAACTGCTGGTCATTGAGAATCCTTGTGTTTTGCTATTAAGCAGTGCTCCAGTGAACATCATTATATGTGTGTTTGTGGAGTAAGTGTGCAAACATTTCTGAAGGGTAAATTCTAGATGTGGAATTCTCTGGTCAAAGGGCACATGTGTTTGTTTATTTTGTGGTTTGTGTCTGGATATCTGCCCAAAGCCTCATACAGTCATGTGGGCAGGCTTCTAGAATTTTTTTTTTCCAAATCCATTTTATCTCAAAGAGAAAAAAGAAGAAAAGAAAATAACACAAATTTTCAAAACAGTCAAGCAGGGGCAGTAGTGTTGTGTACATTGCACATCATCATCCCCAGATCATTCACCCACAGCACAAGACAAGAACATCAGCACAGACCTCTTTCTTCAGTGAACTCAGAGAAATCAGTAGTATAACTACTTTAACTATTTTTATACATACATACATATATACATATGTTGTTTCAACTTCTCACATTAGTGAGACAATACAGTGTTTACACATGTGTCTGATTTATTTCACTTACAAGTATGGTCTCAAGTTGCATCCATTTGCCTATAAAAGTCTCCTGTTTATCCTTCTTTATAACTGAGTAGTACTATATTGTATAAAAATACCACATCTTTTTTATCCATTCCTCAGTGGATGGTCATTTAGATTGTTTCCAAAATCTGGCTATTACAAATTATGCTGCTATAAACATGGGTGCACATATATCACTGTGGTATAATGTTTTTAATTTTTTTGAGAAAATACCCAGAAGGAGAACAGTGAGTGGAATGTAATCTCTATAGTTTTTTGAGGACTCTCCACACTGATTTCCAGAGTGGCTGCACATGCTACACTCCCATCAACAGTGGAAAAGCGTTCCTTTTTCCCCACAGCCCTGCCAGCATTTGTTATTGGTTAATTTCTTGCTGTTAGCCATTCTTTCTAGAGTGAGATGATATCTCAGTGTTGTTTTAATTTGCACCTCTCAAATGACCAGTGATAATGAACATTTTTTCATTCATTTGCTGTTTGTATTTCTTCATCTGAGAAGTATGTATTCATCTCAGATGCCCATTTGTAGATTGTTTTTAAATCTGGGAGGACTGATTTTTTTTTAGTTCTTTATGTGTTCTCAGTAGTAATCCTTTGTCTAAGGTACACCTCGCAAACATTTTCTCCCACATTGTGGGTTGTCTCTTAATTCTTGCTGTGCAAAAGCTTTTCAGTAGGATAAGATCCCAGCTGTTGATTCTTTGTGATAGTTCCTTTGCAATAGGAGTTTTGTTCATAAAGTCTTTGCTTACACCAATGTCTCCAAGAGTTTTAGGTACTCTTATCTTCCAGGAGATTTAATGTTTCTGGGTTTTTTTTTGTTTGTTTGTTTGTTTGTCTTTTTCCTTTTTACCAGTACCAGGGATCGAACTCAGGACTGCCTGCTTGCAAGGCAGGCACTTATGCCGCTGAGCTAAATCCCCAGCCCCCCCCCTTTTTTTTTTGTCTTAATGTTTCTGTTTTAATATTAAGATCTTAGATCCATTCTGGTTTTAGCTTAGTGCAGGGTGAATCTTCAGCATGTGTAGAGCCAGTTTTTCCAGCACCATTTACTAAGGAGAGAACACGTATATTTAAGGTTTTAATAGGTCTTAGCAGATGGTCCCATATTAGTTTAGTGGGGCTCCCACAACAGTACCACAGCTGGGTGGCTTAAACAAGAAAAATGTATTGCTTGTGGTTGTAGAGGCTGGAAGTCTAAAATCAGAGTGTCAGTGGGGTTGGTGGTTTTCTGAGAGTAAGAGGGCGAATCTCCTCTGTGCCTCACGCCTGGCTTCCAGCGCGTGCTGGCAACCTCTGCTGCTCATCTCCACAGGGACTGTGCTCTGTGCATCCCTGGCACTCTGCCCACATTTCCCATGTTTATAAGCATCAGTGACATTCTAGGACCCGTCCTACTGCAGTATGCCTTCATCTTAACTGATTACATCTGCAGTGTCTCTGTTTCCAAACAAAGTCACTTCTGAGGTACCAGAGCTGGAGGTTTCAACCTATGGATCTGTGGTATTCACAGTTCCTCCCAGAGAGTCCCTCCAAAGAAATAGTCATTTATACTTGCACAGGCTCCTTTTCTATTTGTAATTTTTTTTAGAAAAAACGTCCTACTGGAAGTTTTTCATAAAGTTTAAAGCAAGAGGAGGCAGTGATAAACAAAGACTTTGTAAGGCCCACAGTACACATACAACCACAGTGTCTGTTAAAGGCTTTGAAGGAGTCCTGTGCTATTGAATGTTGTGAGAAAAAGACATTCAAAGGGAGCTTTTCCCTGTCTTGGTTTGCTTTCTGTTGCTACAACAAAATACCTGGGGCTTGGTAATGTATAAAAGACCAGAACTTTATTTGGCTCAGTTTTAGAGAATGGAAAATCTACCAGGAGGACAGCATCTGCTCAGTACCTAGGGAGGACCTTGCTACTACTTACTGCATAATGCCTGGAGGGCACACGCGCACCCAGAGCAAGCATGCCACACAGCTAACTTTTAATAAAGTCTCTTTCACGAATGCGCACGTACATGACAGTGACAGCAGTCCAGTGGTGAGGACAAAGCTGTCATTAATTTGTTAATCTATTCTCAAGGGAAGGGGCATAAAGTTTCCAATACATGAACTTTTGGGGGACCCCCAAGTGAAAGCCATCATGATGATGAAAACAAAGGCAGGAATTGGTTCATGCTGCGGTCACAGATGGCCCAGGCCAGAGAGCCTGGGAGGAGAAACGAGCCATGTGGTCACCATGTGTGTCTTAATGGGGGAATGTGGTCTCAGGTCAGTCGGCTTAGCCCAGCACAGGAATGGGGATAAGGAGAGGAGGGGATCGCACATGCCCCTCCTTCATAGCCAAGTGACTGAAAGAGGGTGTGTGTGCCTGAGTCACAGAAGCAGGATCCAGACTCTGCCAGCAAAGAGTCACCTGACTAGAGATGATGACCAGAACAATGAAAGCCTTTCTTCCTCATAAAGATCTTAGAGATGATTTGGGGCACCAGGGGACCAGCAGGGAGGAGGTCATCACCCACAGTCCTGTGGAAACAGTGCAGCAATAGAAGCACTGGCCTTGCAGTCAGGCAGTCTGTGTTGAAACCCTTTAGTAGCTGTGGCCAAAAGCAAGCTGCCCAGCCCCAACAGGTACCCCACTATCATCTGGGGCAGGAGTGAGGCACAAATGAGATAATGCATATGCAAGTGGTCATTGTCTTATCACAGGACAGATGTTCCATCCCACATGCCCCCTGTCTCTGACAGCTGGCCTCAGCCCCATGTGCAGAATTTCTTCCTGGACTCTGAAGTCTATTTTACTTCAGAGGAAGAGCCCAATTGTACAAATACAATCAGCTTCTTTATGTTTTGTTCAGCATGCCTGGGTAGAGGCCCAATATCAGAGGCTTCAGTGGGCCTCTATTTTATGGTCTTTTGCTTGTCCAGTTCTCTGGTTCTTTTCATGACATCCTCTTGGCTCTCCCAACACTTATAAATGATATCTTCTCCTTCCATGCCTCTCTCCTGTGCTTTCTCACATGCAGGGTTCCCCCGCCCCCAGCAGAGTTCCTGATACATAGAAGTCTTTTGACCTGTCTGCTCTCCACCACGCTGTGACTCCTTACAGTCAGGGACTGGGTACTGTGTTTTCCACCTTGACATTGCTGGAAGCAGTGTCACTTTCCTGGTACTAAGTTACAGAATGAAACAGGAGCCATGCTGGACACTCTCACAAGAGTCACAAACCCAAACAGCAAGGTGGCTTGGTCCCTAAATTCACCCTAGCTGCCTGACCCTTGCCAGGCTTTGGTGGAAATTCTACTCAGAGTACAATTGAGATATCTAAACCTTTGTGTGTTGTCTGATTCCTTCTCTGTCCTGATAGGTACTTGATGTGTCTGGAGCAGACATACTGGCCAAGTCAATCAACAACTGCCAGGTGGAACTTCTGGAAAACTGTGGGCATTCAGTGGTCATGGAGAGACCCAGGAAGACAGCCAAGCTCATCACCGACTTTTTAGCTTTTGTGCACAACACAGACAACAACAAGAAACTGGACTGATACCCAAACAGCAGCTTGCATTCTGCACACAGCATCCGCACCTGTCCCCAAAACCTGATGCGGCCACCAACCACTCTCAGGGATCCTGCCCCAAATGCAGCGGTGTGCCAGCATCCCTGAGGAACCCAGTTCCCATTCCTCTTCCCCTTCCTCTTGGTTCCACAGAGCTTCAGCATCCCCAGATCTTTTTCCCAAGATCTGGAAATCTCCAAGATCTTTTTCTCAATGTGGAAACTCACTTGGAACAAAATAAGAAAACCCAGGCCTGAAATCTCCCGAGAAGTCTTCAAGTTTGTGTCACTGACAAGTTTGTGCTGAGCGGCCACCCTGAACCATGATCATCAAGGACGTTTTCTTTTAAGACATTCCCTGCACACTGAGATGTGAGATGTTTTCGTTGCTTCAGGCATATTCCCGTGCATGGCCAATGGCTTCTGTAGGAGCGCGGTCCTCAGTCACTGCTCCCCTCCCTTAGGTCTCATTTAAATAAGTTTTGCGCAGAGGTCCATATGTAAACACAGTCTGTCAACCACAGAACCACGGAGGAAGACGGCAGATTGCGAGAGCGGTGCCTGCCTTTTCCCATTGTTAGAGCATGTATGTATGAACACTGCTCTGGAGAGACCTGCCCTGGAACTGTCTAGGCAGCAAGATGCTTGGGTGGATGAGTTGGCGCTCATGAGTCAGCTGTGCTGAGGGAACCTGGATGCAGAGTGGGGAACACCAGATAGGTTGGGTTTCCTACGAATCATTATATTTTAAAATAGGACTAATAAGGGCCAGGAATTTAGCTCAGTGGCATAAGTGCCTGCCTTGTAAGCACAAGGTTGTGAGTTCGATCCCTGGTACCAAAAAAAAAAAAAAAATATATATATATATAGGACTAATAAAGCAATAACACTCTAGACATCTATCTAAATAATCTGATTTGAGTTCCACACTAAAGCAGCTTGTAGGCCTCTTTCCTATTTTGCTGTGCTCCTGAAAACCCTTGGATGTAACATACTAACTTGTTAATGAATTCTGTGAATTCTGTGAACAGTAATGTGATTGAAAATAAGTCTAAACAGCTGTAAAAGTGACCACAAGGATGTGAAATAAGTTTTAGTAAGTCTAGATCAGCAACTTTTAGATGGTTCCTACTTTGGAGCTCCTAGTTAAGTACAATGTTGGTAGATTTTCTATTAACTTTAAAATGTGTTTTTAAAAGTAAGCCTTTCTTTGGCCCCCAAGTGGAGCTGTGGAAAAAAAATAAATAAATAAAAAAGTAAGGCTTTCAGGCTGGGCATGTGGCTCAGGGGCAGAGCACTTGCCTGGCATGTGCACGGCTGTGGGTTCAGTTGTCAGCTTTACAAAGTAAAAATACAAATGAAGATGTGTTGTACAGGTGTTGCAAGCTTTTGCTTATAAGTTAGTTTCATTTTAAGAAATCATGTTTATAGGTGAGTGTGGTAGCTCACACCTATGATCCAAGCACCCTGGGTGGCTAGGGCAAGAGGTTCACAAGTTCGAGCCCAGGGAGGAACTTAGTGACTTAGCAAGATCTTGTCTCAAAAAAATGTAAATAAAAGATTGAGAATGTAGCTCAGTGACTTGGATTCAAACTTCAGTGTCCTCCCCCCAAAAATCATCTTGCAGGTTTTATTCAACTGAAATATATCAAAACCAGAAGTCATCAAACTATTGCATTCCTTTTGACTCTCTTCTTTTGCATTTAAGAGCTCTAATCTTCCCAGAATCAATTCTTCAAATCTTTTTACAGCCCATAGCCACATAGTTCTGCAAATAAAGATGAACTTTATAGTTTAAATGAAAATTAAACAACAATTGTATTGAGTATTTTAATTTATAAGAGATAAGTGGGATGGATTTTAAAAACAATAAGATATGAAGATGTGACATCAATCTTTAGGGATGCAGCTAAAGCAGCGTGTGTGCCGAAAAGCAATAAATGGGGCTTCTATCTCAACAAGCTGGAAGAGAAATAGTAAGTGAAGCCAGAGAAAAATGGAACAGATGGAATCAAAAATCAGCAGAATAGAAAATAAAATCACAGATGTTTTACTTGTGATCACCTGTACTCCCCAGCAGTTTGAGCTTCATGGGAGAGGAAGTCAGTCATTCTTAGTGGGTGTGGGTGGGGAACAGTGGATTCCTTGGGATCACTGGACCCTAATCCACTGGATCCAGATCTGGGTTAGTCTCTCAGGTGAGGAGCCCTGCAGAGTGCAGGAATTCTTAGGCTCTCAGTTGCTGTACATATGGCAGGGTACTTGAAGTAGGGCGTGTGCTGACCAGCCCAGCCCTGAAGGACAGTGCGCAGGACTCTACAGGATATGGCTCATACCCCCTCTATTGTCAGCAGAAAACCTTGCTTATCAGTCATAAGCAGAGACTATGAGAGTTATTTTTGGTAAACTTAAGTAGGTCTTCAAGGTTCTCCCATGCCCCTCCAAGTCCTTCTCCCCATAGTGGGGAGACCCTTAAACCCACTGCTTGCCCCTGTGCTTATAACTAACTTGCTGGTTACTGCTGGTTAGCTGGTCGCATATAAGACTCCACTGTCCTGTGTGTCTTTGATGACAGTTCTGGAAAGAAGAAAGGGGTCATTCCTCTCAACTTTCCCTCAAAAACTGCCAAAAATGTCTGAAGTAACAATGGAAAACCCCAAGAATCACAACTAGGCTCTTGATAGTACTGCTCAAAGTTGGGGACTTCCTGGCTGTTGTTGGATGGACCCTGTTGGCAGATGCTGAAAAAGCCAAGGAAGAGATAGTGACTAGATTTCAGTTTGTCAGTCTCAGCATCTTGCCCAGAAGGGTGAGTGACACCAGCAGTGACCAGTATAACATGCATCAGTTTGATAGTACTGCGTGCTGTCCCTTCTGTCTGAGCTCCTCTGCAGCTTACCCAGAGGAAGTTCCCAGAAAATGCTGGTGATTGGATGTCTATCTGGCTGGGTCAGAGGCCTACATCTAACCATTCTAGTCACTTTGTTATGCCTGTCTGCCTCTCCGGGTCAGCTACACACAGAGGTGCACACAGACGCACTCCCTCTCATAGTTGGAAGCCTTAGTGAGCCCTTCTCTCTTCCAGTGTTGCCCTTTTAACCACAGGCAACTTTCTCAGCTATTGGGAGGAGTTTTCTGAGAGGGTGAGAATGGTCTTAGATGGTGTAGCGGAGACGCCCTGAACCTGCAGAGATCAGGACCACAGGGTTACAGTGCTAGGGATGCTGGTCTGACACTGCTCTGTGGCCCAGTGTCACTGCTCTCAGGACTTCCTGTGCCCATTGTGGCATCGAGGGTCTTGGCTGGCCTCGTCTGGGAGAGGCAGAGGACATCTGGCTGGTTGGCCTTCCCTTCAGCAAGATATAGCCCCTTTCAGCTCCTCAAGGAACCTTCCCTTCCTTTATGATTTCTCGGGTCATGTTTGGTTCTAAACCCTCGAGGTAGTGAACAGCGACCTCAGGCTCTCCCTAGGAGGCAGGTGCTTCACTGGGCATGAAAGAATGAAGAACTCTTGACAGTTCAGTGACCCCAGCCAAGGCTAGCTGTAAGAATGATGATTGTCACTGGAGGACAAACCGCCACCATGAGACATTAAAGTGAGCTTCTGTCCCCATCCCTCACCCAGCCCTCAGGGCCAGTCGTAAACCAAATTCAGAAAGCTCCCATTCAGAAAGGGATCAGGGTATTTACATCACTTGCCATGTAACACTCCTGCTACCCCACAGGATCAAACATATCCATACTTTTCTTCCTTCCTTCCTTTTATTTACTTATTACTTTTTGGTTGTGTGTGTGTGTGTGTGTTTCAAGACAAGGTCTTGCTCTGTAATTTAGGCTGGCCTGAAATTCACTATGTAGACAGGCTGGTCTTAAACTTGCAATAATCCTCCGACCTCAGCCGCCCGAGTGCTGGGGTTACAGGTGTGCACCACCATGCCCAGCAACATCCATATTTCTGTGGGCAGTGCATGCATGGCTACAGTAATTGGGCAAGAGCTGATTAAGTGCTGCTGCCAGAAAAAGATGTAATTTCCAGATTTTTTTCCCTTATTTTTTCCTTCTTATTTTCTTACCCTCCCTCCTTCATTGTGGCTAAAAATAAATAAAAAAGATAGAAGGCTGTGTTCTCGGTTTTAGTTCAGCTTGGCTCTGGACAGTGCACGGAGGAAGAGCTGGGTTTTCTAAGGAGGAAGAAGGAGTGGGCTCCCAGATGGGTGTGTGCTACAGCTCCCTCTTGTGCCTATCAGTAGGTCCTAAATTCTTTACTTACTAATCATCAGTGTTACAAAAATGGTGCTGTCACTTTAAAACTCATACAAAAAAGAAGGGAGTCTCCTGTGCCCTCTGCACAGGGTCCCCTTCTCCCATCATTGGTCCCCTGGGAAGTGTGGACACCCGCATACGCACACACATACCTATAAACAGAGGGGGCCCTGCACGTGGTGGTTGTGGATTTGTTTCTTGTGGCCATGGAGTCACACTGCTGTCCCTCCCCACTCTTTTCACTTCCCTCCACGTCTTGGGGTTCCTCTAGGTCTAATCTATAGATCCCCATTCCTGTAACTGACAGGCAGGATCCTCCAGAGAAAGTGTAGAAACCTCTCTAAGCACCTAGGAGAGAATTTCTTTTTTGTTGTTGTTTTTTTGTTTTGTTTTGTTTTTGTTTTTTTTTCCTTTTTATCGGTACCGGGGATCGAACTCACGACTGCCTGCTTGCAAGGCAGGCACTTATGCCACTGAGCTAAATCTCCAGCCCCCTAGGAGAGAATTTCTGAACTTTAAAAAAGAATCTACAGCCCTCCAGAAATAATCTGCTTAATTACAGGGTGATTACCTTCTCCCGAGATTCTCCCTTCCTGGGGTCATGGAGGTTTTTCTTAGAGGACAGATTTCTAAGCCACTTCTAAGGCAAGTTTTCTCCATCACTCATGTGCATTTAGGAAATGCCGGGCGAGGCGTTGACACTCCAGCCCCACCCCAGCAGGAGGAGGCCCCAGTGGGGCAGACATCCTCCAGGGGCTGGCGGAGGACTGCAGGAGGCCTCTAAGTGAGAATCAGGTAGTCCTGCTGCTCTTCTGGGTGATTTGCACCTGACTGGTCAGAGCTTCCAGTCCTTATGAGCCCTTAGTGAGCTGTCCCCAGAGTCCCTGCCTGCAGGAGGTACTGACCACGTCCTTCTAGATACCCCTACTGACTGCTGCCCTCTGCCTCCTGCTGTGTGTGTTGGCTGCCGGCAGCTCACAAATTGCCTGGAGCCTAAAGGGTTATCCCCCTCCTCCTGCCTCCTAGGGTTCCAGGAAATACAGCATGAGCGGTAAGATTTTCATTTTCAGATATGCTTTAAGGGTACCACTGGCACTCTACAGATGCCTGGGAGTCTGCCTGCGGGCAGTGTGTGGTTGACCTCACCTTTGGTAAGCTGCCTCCACTGCTGCGTCCCCTCCTCCAAGCAGGTTTCACATGAGCTGGCCCCTTCTAACCACAGACCGAGTGATTTTTAGGTTTGGAGATGGTGCTCAGGGTGGCCTCAAGGAGCCACTCTCAGCCTGGTCATCCCCATGGGAGGAGTGAGTCCTCTCTCCACCTCAAAGAGACCACCTCTTTGGGCTTAACTATCTTCATCTCTGAAAGGTGGTAATGACAGTGACAGTGCAGTCCATGGGGTAACATGGGCAAGCAATCTGGCACTTCACAGGTCTCCCTAACTGGAAGCAGTTGACTACTGTTCCATACCCTTCTGCTTCTGGTGATTTCGTGTCCCTTGTCCCATCTTCACGATGGCAGCACAGTTCCCACTGAACTGTGGGACTAGAATTCCTATTGGGTCCCTCTCTTGCCTTTTCTTCCCCGAGTCAAGAAAGCTCTTAATGTCAGCAGCATCCATGTGGCAGCAGTTAGCAGCCATACTACAGAGGTGGAAAAGGTATGGATTTAACTCCTTGGCTGCCATATTTTCCAGGGACATTAACCCAGATCTACTCCAACAAATTTGCTTTTAGTAAGAGAGACAGAGAGCTCCACAGTGCCCCTCAAAAGCCAACTGACTCCACATAATGTTTTTGTTTTTTGATCGCAAACTCGTAGCAATCCTTCTGCCTCGGTTTCCCAGTTGCTGGGATTACAGGCATGTGTTACCATGCTAGGCTGTTTTGTGTGTTTTGATGTAAAGTGATATTATGCTGCATTTTATTTTTTTTTTATTTATTTATTTATTTTTTTTGGTCTTTTTCGTTTTTATCGGTACCGGGGATCGAACTCACGACTGGCTGCTTGCAAGGCAGGCGCTTATGCCGCTGAGCTAAATCCCCAGCCCCTATGCTGCATTTTAAAGAAGGAAAAGCCCCCATACCATACTACTGGAGACATGTAACCAATATCATGGAGAGAGGAGGTTGGCTGCGGAAGAGGTGAAAAAAGAACTTACTTTTCATTGCTTATCCCTTTGTATCCTTTGAAATATGCTATTAGCCTATAATACCCATTCCAGAAATAAAAATTAAATCCAGACATGGTTGTCCATGTCTGTAATCTCAGACTCTGGGGGTAAGAGGATAACACATTCAATCATACTCTGGCAATTCAGTGACTTAGAAAGACCCTGTCTCAAAATTAAATAAATAATAAATAAATAGCCAGGCTGGAGATGTAGTTCAGTTTGAAGGTCTTGAGTTCAATCTCTAGTACAAAGTAAATAAGGTTCAGTTGAAAAATAAAAGTTAACCAGTGTTTTTACTATGCCAAAATATCTCTTATACTCAACTAAATTAAACAATGTATTATGAGAATTCAGGTGGTTAGGAAGGTACTTTCTTTTCATTTTTGACTAAAAACTTACCAAGGCTGTTGAAGCCCAAAATGTATAAGCTCTGTTTTTTCTGGGCTACAGCGTGGCTGGATGACTTTGCCAGACACCTTACACTATCAGTTATGTTTTCCTCAAAACTCTGTGAGGTAGAGACCGAGGATCTCTTCATGGTAAGAGCCCAGATAGGTGATAGGTAGCAAAGGATGGATTCAAAGTGAGTTACGGTAGCTTTCAAAATCCAGGCTTTGTTGAGAAATAAAATGACAATGTCTAGGGTCTGTGTTGATTACCTCCCCATTGTTCCAACTGGAACAATGTCTCCTGTCTTTGAAGGGAGAAGGAAAGGAAGCAGAACCGCAGGACTAGCAAACTATGGCTAAGGGCAAGGGCTAACCATTCCATAGCAGTGGGGCTTTAAAAAATGAAATGAGGGAGAAGGTTCCCCACTCACCTCCCCCAGTCCATGCTGAAGCAGCACATGCATTCAGGAAATACATGGGTGTCAGGGATTGGAATGCAGCAGAAGCCATCACAGACAAGACCTTGTCCTCAAGTGACTTCCACAGTTCCTTTTCCACTCACTATGTAGTCCAGGATAGCCTCAAACTGATAGCGATCTTCTTACTTCAGTCTCTCAAGTGCTGGGATTACCATGCCTGCCTTAGTGGTTATAACAAGTTGCAGTGTGGAGAGTGCCAGCCTGAATCAGCCTGTTCCACCACTTACAACTGTGTGACTTGGGACAAATAACTTAGCCTCTCCCTGTGCCTCAGTTCTACTTCTGTGAAGTGGGCATTGAAAGGCTTTTGGCCCAGGCCGGACACTAACCTGAACCAGGAAGCCACTATCTCCCCCCCACTTAGGTTCCACCCCAAAGGAGGCCACTTACATACCCCCCAAGCCACGTGTCCGCTGGAGAGATCACTGGACTCTAGGGGGGGGGGGTGCCAGTCATCTCTCTCCGTGTTCTCAGAATAAAGGCCTCTTTTTTGTTTTATACTTCTCATCTTTTGGAAATACTTTTCATCTTTTGGAAATAATCCTATCAGGCATGATCATAGTAGTAGCTACCTCAGGACTGTGAGGATTCTGTGAGATGTAGTGCATGTAAAACCTTTTGTCCAGCGCCTGCTGGCCCAAAGGAAGCACTTGATAAATATTAGCTGTAATTATTATTACTTATTACTAAATACACAGTACATGTTCTGTGAGTACAGGAGTCATGTCTTATTCTCCATAGTTCCCAGGACTCAGAATAGGGCCTGGCACATAGTAGGCCCTCAACAAGTATTTAGTGAGTAAACGCATAGGTGAAATTTGGCTTACATTTGGCAGTAGGGCCAACTGGATCTTTCCAGGTCACAACAGTATGTGCTGAGGAATGGGAATATTGACAACGGTCCTGTGCTTGATACCAAAAAAGCAGAGATACTGGGGCTGGGAGTGTAGCTCAGTGGTAGAGCACTTACATAGTATGTGGGAGGCCCTGAGTCCGATGGTCAGCACAAAAAAAAAAAAAAGAGAGAGAGAGACGCTAGATATAAAATTGTTAAAGAATGAATGTATGAATAAATAAATTTCTATGAGGGTTCCTCGCATACACTTGTACCTTGAGCCCCACACTCTGCAGTGGTACACACTTTCTCCAAGTGGTCAGCAGGGGGTGCTGCGCTCCGACAGCCTCTGCGCTTGCTCCTGATGGACTCTGGGTTCCTTTGGGCGACGTCATGTTCTGACGTCATATCCGCCCGCCCGCCTCGCTTCCGAGGTCGCCCCAGAACGAAGCCAGACGCAAACATATTAGGACTATCCCGGCCTCAAGCTCCGGCCACTGTGTGGGTCTGCCAAACTTTGGCAAATTCGTTCAGCGAATGGCAGTCAGGGAAGGCGCCAGGCTAATACCACGGAAGGCGGGTAGGCAAAAGCCCTTGGGAGAGCCGCCACGTTCTGGGATTGGTTTCTTGTTAGACTAGTGGGGCCGATTGCGCAGGCGCGGAGCGTGCTGCGTGTGCTGAGCACGCACAGAAGCGCTAGTGCGCTTGGATCACGTAACTGTGTTTGTGTAGTCCTGGTGGCAGACCCTGGCTGAGAGGACAGAGCAGGACTGTGCAGGGCGTTTCTTGCACCAGGAGCGAGGTGGGCACTAAATCAGTAGAGGGTGTTCGTCCAGAAAAGTTGTAAGCAATCTATAAGGGATTGAGCTTTTTAAAAAGTAGTGGTTTGGGGCTGCGGATTTAGCTCAGAGGCATAAGGTGAGGTCATGAGTTTGATCCCCGGCACCCCCCCCCCCCGTCCTGGTGATTGAGGGGTTTTGAAGAGTGGCAGGACATGAGGTCAGAGAAGTGCAGATCTTGTAGGCCTTTGCAGCGTATTGTAAGGGCTTAGGCCTTACTGTACAAAATGGGAAGCATTGAAAGGTTTCAGGCAGAGGAACTATCCTGGGGACGTGACTCCCAACCTGTTAAAAAAGTTAGATGTGCCAGGTTTGAGTCTGGATATCAAGCAGTGGATTCGAGGACAAAAGAGGTTAACAATAGGAAAAGTTTACTGCAGCTCCTGAAAGACAGGAAGGATCCGAAGGTGATTTGCTGCAGAGAATATTTTATGCAGCAAAATCACAAAGTGGGTAGCTACCAGTATGGGTCACACTACAATCAGTCTATAGGATTACAAGAATAGTTGCCTACCTAAATTTAATCCAGTAGCGAAGCAAGACATGTAGCCAAGCATCATTAATTTTAGCGTTTCTGTAACTTCTAACATAGAGCAAGGCATGCCTGGAAAGGGTGGGAGTATAGTTAGGATGTTCTGGTCACTCACTTAGAGGTCTGGGCCCACTAGAGTAGCTGGTACTGATTGCAGATTGATCTCAAGCTGCTGTTTATCTCTAGGGAGGTACGCAGGCCTGGCCATCACATGCCATCTTCAGCTGTGGCTCAGAAAATAAAAACAGATGGGGATATAGCTAAATGGTAAACCATTCTTGTGTTCAGTCCCCAGTAACATCAAAAAACAAAGTGTGTATGTGTATAGGAACATATGAGTGACCTTAGTTTGACCAAAAGTGGCAAAGTTACAGTGTCAGGAGGTCTTTTAAAAATAAGGCCAAATTGTCCTTCAAAATGTGAAAAATAACATGCACCCAGCTCTGGTTCTTTCCATATCACTGGGAAGAGAAAAAAAAAGGAAGAAAGATAACTTATACCTTGGTAATTATTAACGCTGTTGACTTATTGTAGGTGTGATCAACATTGGAAAAGATGCCAGCATCAGCTGCCACATATGAAAGAATAGTTTACAAAAATTTCTCAGAATACCACTACATGAAAGTCTGCCTGTAAGTTCAGTCCCCTGAGTTCTATTTTAGATTACTTTAAAAAATAATGATTCCGAATAAAATGAAACAGTATTTTTTTTTTAATGTTTGTTGCAGAGAATTTCAGGATCATGGAGTTGGACTGAATGTTGCACAGTTCAAACAGCTACTTGTTTCTGCTCTAAAGGACCTGTTTGGGGAGGTATGGAAGCACTGGGTAGATGAGCATCCTTAAATTCACTGTAAGAAATAGAGAAAGTGATATAGCCATGTAGCACACAGAGCAGTTGTTTAGCATGTGCCAGGCTCTGGTTTGATCCCTACACAAAGAAAAACATAACGTGCTTTTTTAAAAAAAATATTTTAAAACTACTTGAGCCAGGCATGGTGTTACACACCTGTTAATTCCAGCATTTGGGAGGCTGAGGCAGAAGGATCACCTGGAGTTTGAGGCCAGCCTGGGCTACATAGTTCAAGGACAGCCTGAACTACGTAGGGAGACCCTGTCTCAAAAAACAAAACAAAACACTACCTGAAGTTACATCAGGCTTTCAGAAACGATGAATTTTGATAGCGTTGTTGTTATGTCTTGCTTTTTGACAGGAACTTGTTAGGCAAGTTTTTGCTTAGCACAGTGCTACTAGTACCCTGCAGATATTTTTTTTGGCCCATCCTGAAGAGTTATGGTATTTATTTTTGAGTATGTGTGGGAGGTATTTAGTTGCTTTTTTTTTTTTTTTTTTTTTTTTTTTTGCTTTTTGAGTCAGGCTCCCCCTGTGCAGTTCAGGATGACCTTGAGCTCACTTTGTAGTCCAGGCTGGTCTCAAACTTGCAAGGATCTGCTTGCCTCAGCCTCTCAAGTGTTGGGATTATAGACATTCGCCACCACGCCTGGCTAAGAGATAAGGGATTTATATCAGAATAGCATATCATTTCCTTTAGTGAGAGAGTCTTGTTATTAAACATTGTGAGCCAATCTGAAAAGTATGCTTAGTGATACTGTTATTTTATAATCTGATGTGGCACTTTATCCTGTTTCAAATTATTACCCGAGTCCTATGCCTGACCTCAGTGGGAGCCCATCAGACTATGTTCAGCCGCTCATCCTGAAAGACCAAAGGAGAAGAGTAACGATGCAATAGGAAAGGAATGACTCTGGGTAGCCATAGTGAGAAGGCCAAAGTTTTCTGACAAGAGACTTGCGGTTATAATAAAAAAGGAACAGAGGCAAAATTTGGAGGCTCATATGGCTCACCATCGTATGCCGTGGGCTGGTTGGTTGATCATTATCTAGGATTCTTAGGAGAAATTTTGTTGTGATAACAAAGTTGCTGCCACCTAAGATGTATTTTCAGCTCTTGTTGCAAGATGTTTATCAGTCAAACCTGTTGCTAGAATCTCCACAAGAGAGAATGCTTATAAAGGACAAGAGGGTAACAGTTGGGCCCTCCTGCAAAACCATCACTTTTTATTCCAATGTTAACTTGAGAATGAAAGCAGAAATTGAGAACAGCAAGACAGGATTGTCAGGAAGTTATTTCCTGATTTGTATATTTTGTCAGGTCAGAATCTGCCAAGTGCCTCATCAGAATTTTAGAAACTTACTCTGCAGCTTTAGGGCTTTCCTCCTGATAGCCCACCTGCTTTATCCTGACAGCCCACCTGCTTCTCCAGGTGTTATCTTGTCTTTTCTTCTTTTACTTGGCCTTTGCTTCACTTGCTCGCTTCACTTTTACTAAAGTATTGCCATTACTTTAAAAAACAAAAACAAATGCATGTTGGAGGCCTTTGATTCAATCTCTAGCATCCAAAAAGATCCGAAACAAAAACAGACAAAAAGAGACGAGGTGGGAAGATCATTGTGAGTTTGAGACCAGTCTGGGCTACAAAGTGAGCTCAAGGCCAGCCTGAACTGCATAGCGAGACCGCGTCTCAAAAAAGACAAAAAAACAAACAAACAAACTTACTCTGCAAAAGGCTCTGGTAAGAAGATAAAAAGATAGGCTGTAGTTTGGGGAGAGGGATAGAGTTACAAACTGAGTATCTGGCAAAGGACTAAAACCTAGTATATATAAATATATATAAAAAAACTTCCAAAACCCAATAGTAAAAAAACAGACAACCCATCTAGAAAATCAGCAAAAAGTATGTACAGACTTTTCATTAAAGAGGATGGAGAATTGGTATAGAAACTCATGAAAAGATATTCTGAAGATCAGCCACCGAGGGAACTACATCAATATAATGAGACACTAGTGTATGCTTAGCAGAATGACTGAGATAAAAACAGTGGTAACTAAATGCTGGCAAGGGTATGGAGAGTGTGATCATTCATACACAGCTGGTGGGACACAGTGGTGCACGCTCCTCTGCAGCATAAACAAAGCATGTGCCTGCATACCGCAGCAGTAGCACTGCCGGGCTTTTATACTGGAGAAATGTGAACTTAGGTTCATGTGAAAGCCTATCATAAATGTTCATAGTCGATTCATCTGTAATAACCACAAACTGGGAACACACACGTTGTCTTCTATTGTGCAAATAAGCTATAGTACATTCAAATTATGGGATATACTTTACAATAAGAAGGAGTGAATTATTGATGCACACAACCAGATCGATAGAGAATTCCCCTGACGATCACACACTGAGTGAATATGTGTGCGTAGTGTTCTTGAAATAATACAATGTGGTGAAAAACAAGTGGTGGCCAAGGGTTAGAGATAGGGAGGAGAAACTGATGGAGTGAGGAAGCCTGGTGCTGGTGCAGCTCTTTCTCTTGATGGTTGTAGCAAGCTGTGCGGTAAGAAAACACATACACACACGTCCAAACATGAGTACGTATGTAACTGACCACATTCAAATTCTGGCCTGGTCTGACACCAATGGCCTAGTTTCAATTCTGTATAGTAGGGATGCAACAAGCCGATATTGGGGGATAGTAAAGGATGTACAAAACCTCCTGCAATTTGTTTCAATCTTCTGTGAACCTGTAATTTTTAAGAGATCTGTGCACTTTATGTGTGTCAGGTATAAAATAATAGTTTCAGAGCTGTAGCTATAAACAGAAGGGACCTTTGTCTCATGGGCTGGTGATCTTGATTCTTTTTATTTTTATTTATTTATTTATTTTTGTCTTTTTCGTTTTTATCGGTACCAGGGATCGAACTCACGACCGCACACTTGCACACTTATGCCGCTGAGCTAAATCCCCAGGCCCCAGTGATCTTGATTCTTGTCATAGGAAAATACGTTAAACGATTATTGACAAAAGGATAAAAATTGTAAGAGAGAAGGAAGTACGTGTCTAGTATGGGAAGAAGACAGCAAGCAGATGGAACCTAAGTGTAAGGATCAGAGAAGAATTTAAACAAAGATAGAGGAGTGGAAGGCTGAGCCATGTGAAGAGGTACAGGAACACTCCAGGCAGAGGGAGCTGTAATTAAATGAAGTGCTGATTTTTTATAGAAGAAAAACTTAAAAACAAAGAGTTGGCAGGATTCACTAGCATTCAAGAATGATGTTGATAATAGTTAGCTAATAGCATAATCCTGTACGTAGGTTGGTGCTGCCTTGCCCTTGGACGTCCTGACCTATGAAGAGAAGACCTTGTCAGCCATCCTGAGAGTGTGTAGCAGGTATGACAGTGGAACGTGCTAGTACGCTGACAGAGAACCTGGGGTACGCGTGCGGCAGCAGGCATGCAGAGCCCACTCTGGTGACATCACAAGTTGTTTTTCTAAACTAAAACCTCAGTGTTCAGGTTTCATGGCAGGACTGGCCTTTGGTGATAAATAAGTGGGTTTTGGGTTGCAGTTTGGGGACTCGGTCTCTAAAAAGCTTGCCATCACTCCATTCAGAGCATAGGCGGAGAGACTGACAGAGAAGCAACAAAAGTGGTTGCTTTCTGAATGAGAGCGACTTGGAAATTTAAACTGAAGTGAATGGCAACATTCATCTAGCAGGGGCTTATTGAGACAGAAGCTGTGATTTGGTTAAAACTGGAGTTTCCTAAGGGCCAGGGATTTAGCTCAGTAGCACAAGCACCTGCCTGGCAAGCGTGAGGTCATGAGTTTGATTCCTGGTACCAGAAGACTCCAAAAAAACAATCTGGAGTTTCCTACTTGATGGTTATGGTTGCAAAGTGAGAACTCTGTATTAGAAATACTCTTTATTTCATTTTATTTTATGTATAGACATACCATGCTTTGACCTCTTTTTTTTTTTTTTTTTTTTTGTATTTTTATCGGTACCAGGAATCGAACTCGTGACTGCCTGCTTGCAAGGCAGGCGCTTATGCCACTGAGCTAAATCCCCAGCCCCAATGCTTTGACCTCTTAAGATTTTTTTTTTTTTCTTTTAAATCAGGTTTTCTGGTAAAAAAAAAAAAAAAAAAAAAAAAAAAAATCAACTTTCTGGAATATGCAAAGAAAAGTATCAAGGAGATGACATGGGAGGAAGTCTTTTATTTACTGTTTTCATGATCTTTCCACAGTGGTGTGGTCAAATTGTGGAGCTCTTTGACCCTTCTGGGATCCTATAAAGGCAAAAAATGTGCTTTCAGAGTGATTCAGGTAAGAGCTTTTCCTTCACATATTAGAAACAAAGCTGGGTGTGGAAAACTTGATTTTAGTTGATGATTTTAGCTTTATTGCTTGAATAAAGCTAGTAGAGTTAATATCTATCAGAGAAAAGAATAACCTAGGTCTTTATTGCTTCTAGAAATGTGAGCCAAAGTACTTAGAGTTTCGATTGTATGGGAATTATTTGGCTTAGCTTCATTTAATGCTTATGCCTGGGGTTACACATTGGTATGTTCTTTCTGAGCTGCTGACTGCTCATTTAGCTAAGGATGCTTCCCCAATATGTTATTCTTCCTATAAAACTGGGCTTGTTTCTACATTGCCCTGTGTTTCAGTACAATTTTTTCCTAACGTTATTAATGTTTCTTTTTCTCTCCTAGGTTTCTCCCTTTCTCCTTGCATTATCTGGTAATAGTAGGGAACTGGTATTGGATTGAATAGTCTTCAATTTGAGGAACTTTTCTTGTGCTCCTGAAAGTATTTTTGACATCTCCATATTTTGAAAGCAGCAGCAGGCTTGAAGACCCCAGAGCTGAAGTTTGAGTGTGTTGAAGATGTTCCTAGTGACCCTCAGCCATCAGCTTTGGCGGGGTGGGCTTCAGAGGAGGTTCTGCTTGAGTCGGCCAGTGCTAAACAGACAGCACTCTGAGCAAGTGCACGTGAGAGTTGGAGACCGAGCCGAACTCAGCAGGGCCTTCACACAGAGGGATGTGGCTGCCTTCTCAGAACTGACTGGAGATGTTAATCCCTTGCATCTAGATGAAGATTTTGCAAAACACACCAAGTTTGGAAAGACAGTTGTACATGGAGTTTTGATCAATGGATTGATCTCAGCTCTCTTGGGTACTAAAATGCCGGGACCAGGCTGTGTGTTTCTTTCTCAAGAAATTAACTTTCCTGCTCCTTTATATATTGGAGAAGTGGTTTTGGCTTCTGCAGAAGTGAAAAGGCTAAAGCGTTTTGTTGCTTTTATCACAGTGTCATGTTCAGTAGTAGAAAGTAAAAAGACTGTTATGGAAGGCTGGGTTAAAGTTATGCTACCAGAAGCTCCCAAACCCTGAAATGTGCTGCAAGTTCAAATACCAGTGTATTTGTTATTAAAGAAGCACCTGAGGAAATGAGCTGCTGCCTGTCTAAAGTGTGACTGACAGACCTCAAAGCCTTATTAGGGAGAGGGAAAGGTGGAGGAGGGGGTGTTCAAATAATCCACTTTCCAGTTGGCTTTCTGCTTCACCCAGACCTGAGATCTTGTGTAATTTCATCATCTGTGTAATTAATTTGCATTTACTAACCTCTCCCTATATCTATGTAGGATTTCTCACTGTATTTATAACTAGGAAGCACTTAATTACTGAAGGAAGTCGAGCTGACTTTGAATACCTATCCATTACCGGTAAATCTAGACCCTTTTCTCAGCTATTTTGGGGTTGGGTTATTATGATTTGTGATCCTTTACTCCAAGGTGGCATGCTGCTCACCCTTCTCTGGGACTTGCCTTTCCGGTGGCTTTTGTTACAAGAGCTGAGTGCATTTGCATACTTGAGAGAATATCCATTCTATCTCATCCATAAAGCAATGGTAACATACTGGGCAGGATTGTTGTCTAAAGTGGTAGGCACAGATTTAAGCACCAGATCAGGCCTGTAAACTCTCCTGTTGTCCATTCCCCTGCAAGTGAGGTTGGAGATTTTCCTGAATTTTCCTAAAACTAAGTGGCCTGTTAAACAGGTAATAGGCCAATTTTCAGGTTGTCTATTAGTATTTTTAACCAGGAGTAGAATCTCATGTACAAAGTTTATATCTTAAAAATCCATGTTCTGGGCTGGGGATTTAGCTCAGTGGCTTAAGTGCCTGTCTTGCAAGCACATGGTTGTGAGTTCAATCCCTGGTACCAATAAAAAAAAAATCCGTGTTTTCCTTTTCCCATGAAAATGTGGGTCCACCTCACATTATGTAAACATCTGCCTATTGTGAGGGGAAAAAAATACCCTAAGAAATAAGACCACCGAGACCAGATTCTTAAGTTTGGTGCTATTCAATATGTCAGTACTAAGTACCCTCCCCTAATATGGCAAACATTTTTTTTTTTTTTTTTTTTGCCAATGCTTTTGAAACAAGGTATAGGGTCGGGGATTTAGCTCAGTGGCATAAAGACCTGCCTGGCAAGTGTGAAATCATGAGTTTGATCCCTGGTATCAAAAAAATAAAACAATATAAAACAACATATAAGTGGTCCACTTGTTACTGTAGCTTTAGTTGGTAACTGACCGGAGCTAGATTAGTTTTGAGTAAGATCTGGTAGGACTGATAGGCTCCTTGTTTTGTTGGAAAATAGCTTTTCTTCTAGCTGCTAAGTAAATAGTTTTTTTCTTTTAAACAAAAAGAGAAGCAGTGGAACTGATTACTAGAATTATTCTAGTGACTAGGGCACAGTGGTTATATAAAATGAGTTATTTAGCTACAGTTACTAACATACCATCTTCTAGTGTTTCAGGTAGTAAGAAAATTTAAAATTTTTTTATTTTTCAAATCTGTTTTACTCAAGGATAAAATGAAAGGAAGAAAAGTATCAAATTTAATATAAGGAACAAGGTTGTTCTAATTGAGAGCTCAGAATGGGCAGCATGTGGAGGCCGAGATCCACCTAGAGAAGACTTGTTTATATGTGAACTACTAGACATGCTGAAAATTTGCTGCAGTGTCAGAACAAAATAGAGAATTGAGGTCAAGAGCACTTAAACAACTTTGTCAAGTTAATGTCCATTTCTATAAGCAAGGGAACAGACTGATGCTGTGTAACTCATGTAAGGTACAACTAACATGGAAGAAAGCTGGGATTCAGACATGAGATGACATGGCTTCAAAGCCCTTTGCCTGTCACCATTTGACTCTCATGCTGTCCCACTCCTGGAGCACAGTCAGTTTCTATAGTAGTATTTTATTATATGGATTTAATTGGAACCAGTCTAGAATTTTTACATTCAGAATGTTCTGTGTTTTCCTGGTACTGAAATAGCAATTCCCTATATATTACTTGATGACTTAATACAAACACATGTCATCTACCATTTTTCTAGGTTGCTGCTAAGTGACTATCTTCGGGGCAGAATTGCTAAAACATTCTGAACATGAAAAGTTAAGTGCAGGCCAAGGGTGGCGAGGGAGGGTAGCTGATTTGCACTGTGTAACTTTGAAAAAGAGCTTCTAAAGGAGAATTTCCGTATTTTCAGTGCTCCTTAGGGTCATGGTGTTTGGTCCCACTAAATCATAAAAATTGGATCAGAAAAGTAGGCAAGATATGGTTGGTTTCCTCCATGAATCTGACTTGTTATTTTCATGCAGAGCCAAGAGTCTCAGTCCCTCAAGCTTTGTTAATGCCGGAGCTCAAGAAAATGGGCTGGTTGGCTTCCTCATTTCCAGTGCTACACAATCTGCCAAAAAGAATGACTGGCAGAGCTTGGGTGGCCTCATGTTAGGAAATCCTCCCCCAGATTATTGAGAGGTGTTCTCGAAGGACACTGTAGGTTAGATGTGGAAGTAATGACTAAAATAGACCCAGTAGTACCGCCACTTACCACGCAGGGGCATTGTAAGAGTCTGAGTTTTGTGATGTTTGATTGTCACACAAAGGAATACCCATCTTAAGTAACTGCAGCCTCAAGTACTGGAAAATTGCTTACCAGATTTTATATTGTATTAGAACATTTCCAAAGGAAAAAAAGCTGAGGGTTTAGCTCAGCGGCATAAGTGCCTGCTTGGCAAACTCAGGTCCTGAGTTCAATCCCCAGTACTAAAACAAAAGAGAAACATTTCCATTTTGGTGAAATGCCAGTTTTCTTTTTCAGCAGCAAGGAGAGCCTTGCCACATCCACCATTTGTATATTCATCTAGAAATTTCCCAGTGTACCAGTATGTCGGAGGTGATCGTAGTTTTCATGTTGTGCTGAACTATTAGGAATTACTATGGTTTTATATTTAAACGTTCTATCAAGGTTTGGCCATCATTCTGAGTATGCCATGACTACCTCGTGTGTTGGCATAGTTTATTAACTAGCTTTCTCCTAGCATAGCAGTAGGACCGCCTATTTCCTCTTGGGCAGGTAGCACGTGTGAGTGTTACTTCCAAGGTTCTAGATGTTTTAACCTTGATTCTTATCTTTGCTTCCTTTGAGCTGCACATAGTGGAGCCATGAATTTGCAGCAAATTCAGAGAAATTCAGATTTGGAGTAAAACCACCAGTCAAAGAGACTAAGTCTGTCAATCAAATAAGATGAATAGAGGCCCCAATTTTATTTATTGTTTGTTTGAGACAGGACCTCACTGTGTAGTCAAGAATGGCCTGGAACTCACTGTGTAGCCCAGGCTGGCCTCAAACTCACAGTGATCCTCCTGCCTCAGCTTCCCTTTTGCAGGGATTATAGGTATGTGCCACCATGCCCAGTGCCACAATTTTATTTCTAAGGTGATTTAACTGTAAAACAGTTAGGATTTCTTAGCCTGGGTAAAACTGCCCTGTAATGTGATGGAAGACAGCAACTGGGAACCAACAGCAGTAAGGGAAATGAGGATTAGTTTGAGTGAAATTTTGTTTAGTAGCTAGATCATGAATACGCCAAGGAAACTGTTTTCACTGGGAGGTGGTCCTGCTTGGGCAACAGTTCACAGGTTTCGGTGTTACGGTTTTGTAGAGCAGTTCCCAAGCATCAGCACTAAAACTCACTGATCAATCTGGCCAAACATTAAGTCTCAGAGAAACAACCTGTGGCCCAGCTAGCAACATAGGAGAATGTAAAATATTTTTTTTCCTCTTACTATCCTAAGTAGTTGTGTACATGACAAAAGCTGAGGTCACCTCTTCTTTCCTCATTAGCTTTACCCAGCCTGAGTCTCTGGAAGGAACCTGATGTGATGTATATCAGCTCTGTGAGGATTTCCCATGTTTACTCTGATTTGCTTCTCTGGCCCCAGCTACTCAGGAAGCTGAGGAAAAAGGATCATTTGAACACTGGGATTACAAGCTAGCCCGAAATCCTAGCATACTGGGCAGCTGAGGCAGGCAGATTGCCAAACCTGGGCAATGTAGGGCCTGTTTCAAAATAAGAAATAAAGGGATGGGGCTGTATCTTAGTGTAAAGGCCTTCGATCTGATTTGCTGTGCTGTAAAACCAATAAAATCAAGAGCGGATTGATATTGAGATTGACTGGGCGTGGGTCCCCAGCAGACCTTGGGATTCAGTTAAGCCCAGGATTTTAAGGAGGTTACTGACGTGGGTAGACAGTAATTTTTGAGGCTTACCATAGAACTCACTTATTTTTTGCCTCAGTACTTAAGGGGCCACCTTGTGGGAAGAATGTCCAGAGGACCGGAAGGGTTTGTTCCTGCTTGTATCCCATTAAATCTTATTTCTCACTTTCAGTTTCCTTTTCCCAGTCAGGATACTTTCATTTCTAATTCCCTGTTTTATCCTCTTCCTTTCTGGAGAGAAAAGCATTTGAGTTCCTTCCAGTTTCCTTTCTAATGTAATGTGAAGTCCTTTCTAATGTAAGAGCTGACCCCTGCTGCGGGAGCACCCTTTCTTCTGGCCATTACCTCCGGCAATGCGTTCAGTCCTGGCCATAATTCTGCAGGGCTGGCATGGCTGCATTCATCTCCATTCCGTCCTGCAGTAGAGGGAGGTGGGGCGAAGGGAAGTCTGCTGCCAGCCAGCTGTGGAGTCCATACAAGCCCACGGAGTTGCCTCAGCTCGGGTCCTTGCTGCAATCAATATTTAGTTTCATCTCAGGTTCCTGAAGGCAGCTTCTTGCCTAGTTCTTGAATCTGATTGTGACTTTTTCCCTCTAAGGAAAACTTCCTTCAACCTTTCTCCTCCTCTCACTCCCAAACTACTTTTACCTGCCTCCTCATCTTTTCCTCCTTGAAGCAGCACTGCCCAGGTAACAAGTGTGCTGGTGGCTGGTGAAGTCTCAGAGTGGCTCCCCACACTTGTCAGGTCTCAGAGATGCCTGTCCCCTTGAGAATGCCCTAACTGGCTCTCAGGAGAAGGCTTCACAGAACTAGGAACCTAGGGTGTGAAGGGCTCCTCCCATCTGCTAAGCATCTCCTGTCCAGCCTGTCCCATA